AGGTCTGAGATAGAGAACAATGTTTGAGTTGTATGTCTGTGGTGTCATAACAGAATTTAGTAGTCTTACTAACAAGAATGAACTATTTCTTACCATCCTTCTAATTATCAGTTAGTTTGGGGACAGGGACTCCCGAACATCTGCTAGCTTAGGATACTCCTTGTCTGCCCATCCTGTTCTGCTTGCAGTATTTCCTGCCCTTGCCTTCCGCGGGTATGAGAGGATACTGGACTGCCTGGAGGGGTGTCTGATTCGGAATCCCCACTTTCCTCTTGTGGTGGTTCCTGTCTCACAGGTGGTTTATAATATTCTGGTAAATCCCCACCTCCAGGGTCCCCTGCCTTTCTCAGTCTGGTACACCTCTGCTCTATAGTATGTGCCGAACAACATCTCTTTAACTTCCCTTTTCCTTCCTTCCTATTACCCTTCTCCAGAGCCAACACCATCGGGTCTTGTGGGGCCCCCAGCCCACATTCTGTCTGCCATTCAGGATGATCCCGAAGGGTAAAGAACATATCAGCATATGAAACTTCATCCCATTTTCCTTCTCGTCTCAAAAATAACATTAATTGTAATAAGGTATTATAATTCCAAGTTCCATTGAAGGGCCACTTTTCCCCATCTTCCAATTCATATGAAGGCCATCACTGATTACAATATTTGGTCAAGGTTTTCTTATTCACACTTCCTCCCAGTGGCCCCCCTGTATCTTTCCAATGAGCTAAAATGCAACCTGAAGGGCTCTTTTTGAGAATTCCCCCACTCTGCTGTCCTCCCATTGTAAGCCTTTAAAGATACAAGACACCGTTAGCCCTACAACAATAATATCTTACCCAGAGTAAAAGGTACAAGGGAGTGCTGCACCCACAACAGATAGATACACCCAAATTCCAAACACTTCTGTAAATAAACGGCTTGTCTCTCACCAAAAGAGATAATATATTTTGAACAAGCAGGACACTTAGCTCGGATATACAAACAACAGCGATGACAGATTGTGCAAGGGCTAGTTGGAGTCCTGGGCCAGGGAGCTTGATCACTACTCTGACAGTTAACCCCTCTATTGCTCTACTTGCTATGCCACGTCTCACTCACACAAAACACTCATTCACACAAGGGCTGGTCTCTCAATCACCCACTTCACACAGAATGTCCTCTAAGCCAGGAATTGGTAACACATAAATCTTAAGCCATGGTTTACCCACCAGAGGTTCCTGAAGCCGTTAGTACAGTGACCTACCAACCCAACCCAACCCAACCCAACCCTTGGGGCGAGCACCTGCGCTCTCCACCTTGCGTAGGACACCTTCTCACGACCCACAGGTATCCCCTTTACCTGGTTCAAACATACCTGATGATTCACTAGTGATGGCCCTTGTCTGCTCCTGCGGTGATCTGAGTGAGTGGGGGAGTCCTCCCAAGAAATCTCGGGGGCGCCCAGAGGAGTCCCGTACTCAGGAGGTCCTGCACCCGGACAGAAGTTGTCCCATCTGGGGTGCAAACTAAAGGACGGAATCAGACTCTAAAACTCAAAGAGAGTTATGAAGCAGGTATGTTTATTACGGCGCCGGGTGAAAGGGGGACCGCTCCTCCTAACTTGCACACCGAGGGGGGTTTAAGTAGGCAGATATGTATTACGTACAAACATGCATATTCATTAGGTTCCCAAGAGTTTGGTGGGGTATTACAATTACTTTAGGAACTCATTATGATAAGTCTGTTCCCTTTTGGCGCCTGCACGCTGCCCTCCAATAGTCGCGGGCAAGGGTCTTCAAGATGCAGTAAGCAGTCTTCCTCAGGGTGCACTTTTCACCTTTGGCGCAGTGGGATGCCCCAGTGAGCACAAAATTAGCTGAAACCAGCCGTATCTGTACGTTTCTGATTGCTGGCAATGATTTAGACCAATGTGACCTTCGTACAAAATTTATTGCAAGCAGAACAGGATGGGCAGACAAGGAATATCCTAAGCTAGCAGATGTTCAGGAGTGACTGTCTCCAATCTAAATGATAATTAGAAGGATGGCAAGAAATAATTCACTCATTAGAAGGATGGAAAGAAGTACTTCACTCTTGTTAGCAAGACTACTAAATTCTGACATTGCCAGACCAACAGCAAATGCCCACCTCAGGGGCAATGTACACCCTTCATGGCAGGAGCTTGATGAACAAGACACGGCAGTGCTTGCTAAGGAGAAAGCATCCAGAGGACACAAAGCAGAGCTTTGGAGCTTTGTAGGTGGACTGCCTACCCTTCCAAGAGCTGGGGACCCCAATGGGACACTGCCAGGCTTCTGGAGCCTCCCAGGTCCCAAGAGTGGAGGCAGGCTGAGCCTAGGCATGAACTTAAACCCTCAGCGATTGCTTAAATCCATGAGGAGAGAGCATTCCTGAGCCATCTAAGCTTACAAGACTGCATCAGGGCAGCTGGAGAGGCAGGGAAGCTGAGCAGAGAAACAATGCTGGTACCTCTTGAACCCGTGTTCAGGCGGACGGTGGATCAAACGTGGTTTTGCTCAAGGCTGCATCACCTCTCCCATGTGCTTCAACTTCCATTACACAACGAGCAGCATATATGCAATGCCTCTGAAAGGAATTTTATGCGGGAATGATACTAAAACCATACAGGCACATTTGAAAGGCACTTCCAGAGCAGCTCCAGTCCCCTTGGAGAAGCACAGGAAGGATTGCTCTTGGATTTACCCCTTTGATACCTAAAAGCTGGCACTCCAAGTGTAATCTGGTAGAAGGGGAAGCCGCAGAAGTCACAACTCTGCTTTACAGCATTCCTGTACGCTGTAGATATACCAACCCCTCCATGGGGCTTGGCCACAGCAGAGACCATGGTGATGGAACACACCCACTCAAGACATGGCATTAAGGCGGGGAATATCTTCTGAAATACCTGTACGCATGGAACTGTGCCTGTGTAAGAAAACAGCTCTCCTTTCAGATGCAAGATGCGAGAAGTTACGTAAACATCTGCAGCACAGCTTTTCAGAATAAATAAAAGATGACAGTTTAGGGTCCAAGACTTCCCCAAGAGTCCCAGACAGTTTACAGCCTAAGATCAGTCCACTTTGAAATGACACTTATCAGAGAAGTTGGTTTACATCAGGGTGTGAGAAGTTATGAAGCGATCCAGTGGCCATTATAATACTGTCTTAAAAAACATTTCTGTGGAGGACAGAGCTAGGCTGACAAGGTAAATGGCACTCAGCAATGAAGCAGAAGGTATCTTTAACATGGATCCAACAGGGAAGTGTATGCACACAACTGAATGTTTGAGTTTAAGGGACTTTCACATGACATCTGGTGTCTGAGGGTGCTTTTGGGAGCCATCACAGAGACCAGAAAAACACCTCCACTGTTTTGCATCCATTTAAGAAACACAGATTTAGGAGTTTTATCAGAGATTGAGAATTGAACCAAGGACAGAAGGAAGGCATTTTATTTCCACAGGGCTCCCTGCAGGAGGGCAAATCATATGCTGAAGAAACGAAGATGGAAGTCACAAGGATATAGCCACTCAGTGCTTTACACAGGGTAAAGGAGTCTTATTTATTGCAGCTGGGTTATTCTACTCAGTACTAGAACTTGAAGGGTGAAGTGTTTCACAGCCCAATGCCAGGGAAAACGTCCTGGTAGGTGTCACTGTGGGAAGCACCTGCCCCTAGAAGCACCAACATAAAGAAAAGTTGGGGACGTAAATCCTATTAGAAAAATGGAGAGAAAACAAAAGGCACAGGAGGAAAATCGGAGGAAAAAAGAGGCTCCAGGCAAGCTGTGTGCTGAAGGCAGGACTGAGACTGGGGGAATTTGTGCAGCTGGGGATAGAGGGCTTGGACAGGGAGCTCCGTTCAGACCCACTCCGCAGCATGTCATTGGAAAGCAGGCCACCAGGAGGAGCAGCGCACCCGCCGATCACAGCACCGCCACCAGCTCCAGCCGGGAGCAGCGTTTCCAGCTCGTCGAGAAGGCTCCATGGAGATTTTCAGGATGGAGGAATGGGCTCCATTCAGTATCGTCTCCTCCGTCTTTTTTTATCCTTTTTCTTCTCTATCTCTTTCCGGGCTCCAGCCGTGGTAAATGTGATACAGTGAGCATCTAAAAAGTCTAGCAGCTTTGCCTTGGAAATTTTAATGCCGTTCTGTTTGAGCTCTCTGTGCAAATCAGCCAGCTCAATTGGCTCATAGAACAGAATCTTGTTGTACAGGGCTGTGTTTGAGCGGATATAGCACCTTACTGCCTCCATCTTTTCTTCTTCCTGAGATGCTGCCTGAGATGCTGTAAATTCCTCTTCGTCCTCCTCAGACTGAAAAGCACAGGCTTCAAATCCATTCATGAAAGAACTAAAAGCAAGATCAAATAGACCAGAGAGCAAGGAAAGAACAGGCCATCAAGAACAGGACCAGAGCTCCCCAAATCCCTGGTGACCAACCCCTGTGGCTACCCTCTATAGAATCAGAGATTCTCCAGTGCCAGCACCCGCAAGACAAGTGAAGAAGAACATGGCACATGCTCTGCAGACCAACCCATCCCAGCCACAACAGTGCTGGTCCTGCTCACCCAGCCCTGGAGCCATCTGGCATTCCTTGCTGCACATCCATAGCACCTACTGCTGCCATACTGCAGCAGCCTCTCAAGCAGTGATGTGCCATCCTCCCTCTGTGCTCTAGCTGCAGGTTTTCAGTCAACACTGAGGGATCCTTGTCACTCTAACCTGTGGAGATCAGGCATGCCAGATTTGGGCCTTGCCCACATGCAGCCACAAGCACTTTTGAATTCCGAGAACTAGGAATAAGACTAAAAAACTCAAAGCCTATTTCTTTTGTAGGACTGTGCTGACCTTCGAATAACACACCAGGGCCATTGTAGGCCACATTCCTAGCTCATCTGTCCTGTACCACTGACTGTTTTGTTTGCTGTTTTGCTGCCTTACCTCTGTGAACCAAAGGAGATGTCGCTACCATCCAATGAAGAAACTGTGGACTCCTGAGATGCTGAGAACATTGGTTCCTCACCATCAGCTGCCACAGACCATCTCTCTAGAGATGCAGATGACTTTTTCTGTTCTTTATCTCCTTCTGGGTGATGTGCCATTTTAGTCCCCTCCTTGGGTGCTGCACAGCCTTGTGTACCTCCTTGGGTGCTGCACAGAGTTTCATGGGATCCAACAAGGTCATCATCAGCCCTCTCCACTGCAAGCACTGAAGAAGCCACAGCAACCTGCTTCCTTTTGCCCACAGTCCTCAAGGCACTGGCACGCTTTCCACCTCCTGCCTGGTCTGCCTTTGGCTGCCTGGAGTGTTTGGCTGGGGACTTCTGCAGGGGAGACTGGGAAGACGGGATTTCATCCTCAAAGTCAGAGTCCACGTCCTGGTGAGTATACTGGAATATCTCTTTCAGCTTCAACACCATCTGGCGCTTTGGGAGAGCGCGAACTCCAAATCTGAAAGTTGGAAGGTTAAGTTAAGATAATGCTCACCTCCCACCGTCATAGCTCAGGCTGGAAAATCCAGTGGTCCATCTGACAAAGTATGATTGTGACCTCAAAAAATGCTACCTGGAGCTTCCCCAGGTTTCACTTCCACTTTCTTTCACACTATTTGCCAATGAGTTTCTGCTCATAGAGGTAATGCTTACCTGCTCAACTCCTTCTTCAGCTGGGGGGTCTCCATCATGGAGTAAGCTGGCATTGGTGTCACTGGAGTGCTGGGAGACTTGTCATTCTCCTGACAGGAAGGTTCTGTAGCACAATGAAATTACCATGATCAGAATCAGTACAGAAAGGACTTATAATAGCTGGTGTCTTCCCTTTTAGTGGCAGATATTCTAGTATCATATAAGTGTTTAAGTAGCATGACTTTCCTACAAGGTGTTTTAATTATTACTCAGCTTCATATTGGACAGAGCAGTCAACATGTCTTATTTTTTAAACTGAGATACTTGGCTTTTATTGACTTTAAATCAGAAACCAGATTAAATTAAGATATATGCCACGTCTGAATATGGAGCCCATACAGGGCTTTGTTAGAACAGGCAATGTTCACAAGGCAGTTAAAAAAACATGTTTACTGAATTAAGTAAAGTGTTTTTTCTCCCAGGAAGGAAATTTCATAACAGGAACTTGATGCAGAAGAAACTGAGCAAGTCAAGCTTCTGGGCTCCTGTGTTAGATGCTGATTTAATGACGCCAATTTACTGATACTGTGAAGCACAGTCTCGCATTATATTCTAAATACATGTTAAACTAATCACTTTGTATGGCTTAGTGAATTATTTCATTAGATATCATGAGATCTGGTCTCAGATGGAAGGAACCACACAAGGATATGTGTGGGGCACGCAAAGGTCTGTTGCAGGCGCCCAGAACCCCCAAAGAGAAGGCAGCAGGAGAGAACAGTACATTGCAGAGCTTTGCAGGGAAACGTGCACCCACACCAGCAACCCTCTGTGCCTGCACCACTGTGCTGCTTACCACATGTCTTTATGTACGTTAGCACAAGCATTGTTTCATGACTGCATGAAAAGAAAGACTGCACAGAGCAACCACTACTCCTGGGAGCAAATATCCACTGTCATACAAGCTGAAGGCTGGATTTTCATTCTGTTTTGGCAAGGTTTTTAACTCCAGGTACCCATAGCTTCTGCAAGGAGTACCGTTGCTATCACAGAACCAGTGTGAATGAAATACAAGTGGCTATGCTCCAGGAATCCCATGTTTAGATATGATCTCTCCCACATCAGAAGATACTGCACCTTTTTTGTGCCTGGGCCTGACAATTACTTCAGAACAGAAAGCCAAAAGAGCCTTTCAATATACCAACCAAACCACAGGTGAAATGATCACTTAAAACAATTTAACCTAGTCCAATAAATCTGGTATCAATAGAGACCCTCACCAGGAGTCTTTACAGCATCTGTCTGACGTGCACGTGCTGCAGCTGACAACCTGTGAGACAGAGGAAGCATCTCTGGAAATTCATCTTCTTCATGTTCTCCATTCCAGTCATCCCAGATTTTGGAGTTCAAGTAACTTGGTCTATTGCCCACGGATGAACATGCCTCAATAGGACTCTTCTCAAGACAGAACAAAGTTGTTCTGCCAACAGGACTTCCTTGAAGGGGGGTACTGCCTTTAATTTCCTGCACATGGGCTGGGCTCTCCCATTGCTTGTGCCAAGAGCCAGCTCTGGGGCTGCTGGTGGTGCTGGTCTTTGCATGGCTGACCTGGCTGGAATCCTGGCTGTTACCTCTGACTGGTGACACATACTCAACATGCCAGCAATCATCAGTGGGGACTGGGGGCTCATCACAAAGCAAGACGCTGCTGCTCAAAGAAGGCAGACTTATCTCCTTTTCATTATCCTCTACCTCAACCACACTGGTATTTATTTTATCTTCCAGTGACTGCTCATGGCATTGAGGCACAGGTTTGGATAAAGATGAAATCTTGGCACATTTGCTTTTTATGTCAGTGTGGCCAGGGGAGAGCAGAACTGGATCCTCTGGAGAAACTGGGGGGGAGTTAATGGAAAACGATTCCACCGTTGGGCTGCTGGGAGGGCTCCTTTCACTGACTCTGTTCTCCATAGGCAAATGTATGTCTGACAATGTCGTTTCATGAACTTTTATTGAATTTCCAGTCATTTCATGGTTACTGTTACCTGCTGCGAAGTTCTTTGTGCTGGGTTTAGATCCTGGACTTTTTAAAGAATTAATACCTGAGACCTGAGTCTGTGTTGAGAAGCTTCTGCTTTTGCTCAGAACTGGTGTGTCTGGTACTAGCCAGGAGCTGTCTGTACCTGAAGACATTTCATGACGGAGCCTCTTTTCAGGGCTCACGTTTGGACTCTGTTTGCTCTCCATACAAGCATCTACTTGTCTGCTGGGAGACAATCTGATGGACATCTTTACATCATTGCTTATATGCACCATATCTGTAATGCCACGTGAGACCTGGGGTGATCTTTGCTCTGTTTCAGTGACTGATGAGTTCTGTTCAGGTTTTGCTATCTCAGGACCTTGTTCTACATTTGAACATTTTAATTGCTCAGAGATTTCCATTTTCTTTAGAGCAAAGCCTGACTCTGGCCACTTCTTGTCTTGCTGTAATTCCATTTCATCATCAGAAGATAAAACAATAACATCACCCTCCTTGTTCCCCTGAGCTGCAGCATCCTGAGTTCTGATGATCAATGATGACAACACTGGGACATATTTATCTTTGTTTAAATCAATGTGGGGAAGCTTTGCTGGAGAAATGATGTTCTTGTTTCTTGATGCAGTATCCAGCTCGCTGGCTTTCTGAAAGCTTATTTCACCAGATGGGAATGATTTTTCCTCTTTGTTTTGCTTTGCTGTTGACATATGCTCGCTGGCAAACCTTCTCTCCGATTTTGGAGATGCAGGTGAAGAGCCAACAGCGGGAAAAAGGGGCACATAAGGTTTGGGAAGAGGACTCCAACAAAAACTGTTCCTGTGTGGAGAGAGATCTTTTTGTGACTTGCTGTACAGAAATGAATCATCAACATGTTTTTCACTAGGAGCCTTCCCTGATTCTTTGATAACTTCTTTCAATGGAGAAGGCTTACAGTAACTTCCCTGAGTTCCCTGAGAAAGCAAGCGTTCATAACTTTCATTTCTATTAGTATCATTGTGGAAACTTGGTAACTGTTTTTCACAGTGATCTGCCTCGTCATGTGAGACCTGAGATGACTTGTTATCCTTCACACCTTCACATTGCTTAACAGTCTCTCCTTCATTAGTTGTGGCACCATGGGATGCTATGTCCCATTTTTGAGGTTCACTGTGGTGAGGCACAAAAGTGGTCTGTAGATCATTCATCCTCTTGCACCTATTTATATCCTGCATTTTCTCTTCCTGTGCAGACGAGTCACATTTAGATTTTTCCACATCACTGTCATCGCTCAAGTCTTTGAAGCTGTTGCTTATTAAAGCAGATTTAGATCTCTTTACCTCTTCCTCCTTAGTTTGCTGATTTGTACCCTGGGCTGCCTCAGTATCACTGCAGATGCTGCAGTCTGTTCCCTCACTCCCCTCTGTTTCACCTTGAACCATTTTCCTCTGAGTTGCAGCAAACTCATAAATTTCCTCCAGCTCCTGTTCACCCACCCCATCTTCCTTCTGGCATTCAGGGTTCAGCATAGTTGCTTCCTCCTCATCTTCACCCACCCACATCGACTTCAAGAGGTCTTGGAAGTTCTCAACTCTGTCCTCACAATCTTTGCCATCCGTCACAGAGATAAGATCATCTTCTGAATCCACTCCAGAAGACACCTGACTCTCTCCAGTGTTGCTTTCACACTTTGCCATCAGTTCCATCACACCAAACCTACAAGGATATAATAGTAATGTTAGTATTTTCCTTCTTCTTCACCATTTGGCTGCCTGATCACTCCTGTGAGCCTTGTAAAGAAATTGTCTGAGGATGCTGTTTTCCCAAGATATACAAGAGCCAGTATACTCATGAAATTCCAAGTGTCACTCACAAGAAAGCATCAGGCTCACTCTTCCTTTTTTATGTTCCTTTTTTATGTTTTTATGAGACTAAACAGGTACATGACTACACTAAACCAAACCCTTTCTGCCATTTGCACTGGTGAGAGCCCCAGGGAATGGCTGGGGCTGGATAATGTCTGTCACATGCAAGCTTTGTGCCTTTTAGGAGTAACAGTGCAGCTCTGCACATACATTTTGGCAAGACCAAACCATTTCCCTCCCTGTATCTCGACAACTGCTCCCATTTCAAGCTCTTTACTTAGGACATGCCTAAGATTGTGACTGAGAGCATGGCTGACACTCAACATTGGAGTTCTAAGCATCCAATATGCTCTGCAAGTGTTGTTCAGGTTAAGTTCATTGGTAGTGCAATGCTTTGGGAATCCCATATAAGAAGATACGCTCATCATTGGCTGTCAATAAACACCTTGAGACAAAACTCCTGGGAAAAAGTCTGCTAAGCATATACTGAACATAGAATATCTTACACAGGTACACCCTAAAGAGAGACTTGTGGAAAAGATGTGGGTAGGTTGTTCTTGTGTGAGTTTCATTTAAGATGTAAGCAGAGGATTACGGAATTTGTAGATTATGGAATTTGTAAACTACTAAAACTGTACTGAAAGCTGTAAAATTGGTGTCTGTGTGGCTGAAAGCACAAGGGAATCCAAAACATGCTCATGGCACAAACCTGGCAGCCAGAGCGTGCACCTGGGGCAGCACCCCAGCAGGGATGTCAGCATCAGCAGCATAAAGGTACCGAAGGAATGCAGACACTGCCTCTGCTGTCACGTCACTCAGCAGTACACGGCGTGTCTGTGCGTTCCCGTCCTCCTCCACTAAGAACCCTTGGCTGTGAACCTGGGGTAAGAGGAAAGCAAAGTCCATTTGCTAGTAAAGGAACAGCAACACCAACGTTCTTGTTCCTATCAGCTTCACTCCTTTCATTTGCCAAAGTCTTACCCTGAGACCACGATCTTATGCCTCAGAGGAAAGCTAAGATGACCAGTTATGCAGAGCTTCATACAGAACAGGACATTTCCTTCCTTACTCTACAGCTGTTGGCTTCCATGAAGTTTAACTAGTCCTTTTAGTTACACATACAAAAGATGGTCTTAAAAGTTCTCCAGTTAGTTTTGGAATCAAATTACTTCTCAGAGCACAATTTCCAGTGTTATCTAACTCTTTACAAGCAAGCTTCCTCTGATCCGTTTTGAATTTACCTACCGTTGATGCACTGCCAAAACTCTAGTTCTCCTGGTGTCCCACAGGAAAAGAGATAGGGCAAAAATCACTTAGGAAGCTTCCTCCATCCTTGCCTCCCCGTAGCGTCCTCAGATAAAGTACCACATTTTCCACCACTTGCTCAAGACCCTGGTTTCCTAAGCTGAAAAACCACTGCATGTCCCAAGGCCCTTGCTGTTAGGCCCAGCAGTGCTCTGTGCTGATTCTGTCTTATTAACTGATTGTAGGTGTGGGCAGTCTCGGCTTTCCTGAAGCAGAGGAGGAAAGTACATCAGCAGTACTTACAACTTGGATGACCTGTGGACATCGCGCGTACAACACAAACATGTGGGCATAAAGGACTTCCCCACAGTCCACCTGGAACTGGACATCACTTAAGTGGGGGTTGTTGATCATTGCACCAAAATCTTCAGCCAGCAACCTGAGGGAGGACTAGAACACAGAAGAAAAACAGACAGAAGTTATGTTACAGCTGTCAACATTTCCCTGAAAAATAAGGGAATAACCCAGTTTATCAGCACTGCTGTACTGTGGGTCCCAGTCTGGATACATTGCCTTCACCTCCTGGAGATGATCATCAGTATTATCAACTTCAGGTCTTCCACAGAACAAACAAGCAAAGACTAACAGACATTTCTGGCTTTGTTTTCCTCCACTTTTTCCAGTCTGGCAATTATGGAGAAAGGGCAGTCATGCTGTATTTACTGTACTTGTTCTGCCTTGTATTACAGCACATTATCACCCTCAGATCTTTACCACACCATACCCTGATGTGGTCTAGCCACTGCCTAGAGCTGGCCTCTTGACCAGCCTTCCACCACATGTTTAGGAAACTGCAATTTCCACTTTGATGGACTTGAACTCAAGTTGCTATAATTAGAATAAAGAGAAAGGGGATGACTCAGGCATGGGCTAATGAGCCTTTCTTCTCTCATTCACTGTCTGTCAACAACAGCTGAGAAGAGCAGCTCTGCAACAAGGGGCCCACATAGAACAAAACCAATGTAGGTGTCTAGTTCAAAGGAATTTATGTGCATGGTCCTGAAACCCCTTCTGAAAATTCCACTCAATTACAAAAAAATAAGACATGTAATTTCTATTATAATTCCAGAACCACTTCCTGGAATTTTGGGGAGGGCTGGTTGATTGTGCTACCTGTGACTAGAAAGCTCAGGCCTGGAATATGCTGCCAAAGAAAGCAATGATAAATGCTCTGTTTCTGCTCTGGAGCTGCCCCCAGTATGAACCCACCCCAGGCAATCTCCTGAAGACTCGGATTCCTCTAGGCAAGTGTGGCTCTGGAGGTGGTCAGTGCTTCAGACAAGTGTGAAACACCCTCAGCTCACAGCTGAGAGGCTGTCGGACTGTAAGTAGAAACCAGTTTATAACTAACACACTGATTGTCCCTGTGCTTTTGAAGCCCACTGCAGAGTTGAGGAACTGTAAATTTTATTCCAGTGAACATCTGCATGAGATGCTGTTCCACCTGGAACAACACAGCTCTTTATTTTATTAGCAGGTTTCTACATTAGCAGTGGACTGTGGAAACCCAGCCTTTCTACTCACTCCAGCATGTGCTTGCAGGCAGCCAACACTAATTAGCACCAAAACAGCAGCACGCACCAGAACACTTCTTCATAGGTGGGCTAGAGAAAACTGCATGCCGTGGCAGTGGTGTGGACTGCTCTCCAAGGGGAAGACAGGAAGCTCAGTCTGGAAACTAATCTGGTGTTTCTTGGTTTCTTATTCTTGGCAGGTAGGATACCTGCAAGACAGTACCTCAGGAAGCCAGCAAACACAGACTCCTGATGCTATGTTCCAGGCAGCAAGCCCAGAACAGCTTTCCTGACGATGCTAAAATTATGAATCAAGAACGGGGAAATTAAATAAGGCCACAACCCTCCTGGCTGCACCATTCTCTGAAGACAGTGAACACAAAAGAACACTCTCTCCTGCTGAGGTGGCCCATCAGACTGGACTACACAGATGTGACAAGGGTCTTAAGCATGGGTGGGAGGATAGGCTACCAATGCAATGCTCCGTTTGCTCTACTTGGTTATACTCTGTGCTCATATAAAGCACAAATCTCTCCCACTGGCAATTCAACTCTTCAGCAGTGCTTCACTTGCTCAGGAAAACTGTAATGGACTCAAACTAAATCTGAAAACAAAATGATCATACTGGTTTTACTGGTAGCAACTGAGTTTCAGCAACAGTTATCAGTTCCTGTATTTCTGCTAAAGGCCTCTGGCTTAACAGACTCAGAAAATTACAAAACAAGACTTTTTTTTTTTTTCCTGCCCATACTTTTTTTTTAAATACCCCCAAGGAATACCTAGAGTCTCTGGGATGCTCAGGTTTAATACTGATTCCCACCTCAGAGAACTGTCTCCTTCAAAAAGTATCTTAATTCTGTAAGCACAATATGAAATCATGTTCTCAGGGCATCCAAATATACCCAGCACCAAAAGCTCCAGCTCTCATGGCAAGATCATTTGTTATCAAACCAAAGGTAATTTGCACCAGATGAAATGGATGACCTTGGTAAGAAAATAAATTAATTTGGTTTTATATGCACTTCAATTGAAAACTGATTAGACATCCATTGGGGATTACATACCCACTGGTGCATCTGGGGCAAGGTGTGATCCACAGAATGCTACTAGCTCGATAAAAACATCATCTGTGGCTTAGTAGCCTGTATTCTTCATTTAGTCACCACAGAGAACACACTGATTTTCAAGCTAGTTCCTCTGATATGTGTTCCCACAATTGAGTATTTTCTATGCCAAACCTTTTAAAAACTCGTATTAGCAGCAAAAAAATGCTCATTTTCCATGGACCTCACAGCATTCCACATGATCTATGAGGCTTTTAGGCCAGATGGCAAAATGTAGTGCAAGTCAGTCCTTGCAAGAATTCTTTCTCCCATTGCAAAGCAGTGCATGGAGAGGAAGGTGATGGAGGAGGAAGAGCTCCATTCAGAACCACACAAAGTAGGTGTGTGAGCCTGGAGGAAGCATTGGGAAGCTCTGCCTCTCCCAGGCTGCAACCAATGCTCTTGGACAGCCTGGGCATTAAAGCAAAGTCCTGCTTAACATTGTGCAGCTGTATCCCTAGTTTCTACACCCAAATAGTGCAGTAACATAACACTTTAATCTGGTTCTCTTTATATAAACTATGCATAGTTTGGCCATTCTGAATCACCTCTCTCATCAGGTAGGACAAGTACTGAAAAATCCACATGCCTGCTTGTGGGCATCAATGAAATAACACCCACGTGTGCTGATCCCACCTGTGCCCATGATGATTCCTGGGTATCTGTGAACCTTAAGCACCTCTTTGTTTCTACGGAAACAAGTGGGAAATACTCCATACTTCTCTGAATTGCACAAATGCAAGAGCTCCTTTTTTACAGTGATAAACAATTACAAAATAGCAGGGGAAAAAAGAGTTATCCTTACTTTTTTACAGCTGCTCATCAGAAGGCTCTTCTCTTTGGATGAGGGCAAGAAACCACTATGTGGAGTATCACTGGAAGTCATTTCTTTTCCTCAAAGAAGAAAATACACATCACAAATCGTATACAACTTCTCTGTGAAAGAGTGATGTAAGGACTCCTAACAGGATCCCTGCCATGACAGCTCCCTAGAGAGCTGTTGTAACCTAACTGACTGAGTTGAAGGCTCATCCTTTCCCTTTTGCCTTTGCTGGAGGGTTTGGCTCAGGGCTATGACAGGCTGCGAGTACCTGAGTACCATTCAGCCATGAGCTGCACCACCCTACTGTAGATCTGTGTGTGCCATAATCCAGGTGGAGGAACCGGAGAGTACAACATGTTTTCCAGCTTTCACATCTCAGTTTTCCTCCACTGGGAAAAAACTACAACACAGAGCAGGATGGAACATGCCACAGTTTCATCCCAGCAGATAGGCAGAATGTATCTTGGATCCACATTTCAACCTAGAAAAACGCTGTGGGCTCTAGTGCTCAAAGGCAGACACTGATATCAGTTTTGCACAGCCTGAGCTCTGTGGTATTCTACAGAATGCACAGAACAGAGTGCAGAGCAACAGAAAGAATTCATGTCTTCTGAAATGGGCTCTGGTGCATTCAGGGAGACCTTAGAGCTGCTTCCAGTGCCTAAAGAGGCCAACAAGAAATCTGGAGAGGTTTTACAAGGGCCTGTAGCAACAGGACAGAGGGGAATGGCTTTAAAACAGACAGAGGGGAGATTTAGATTAGATGTAAGGAAGAAGTTCTTCCCTGTGAGGGGTGCTGAGGCACTGCCACAGGTTACCCAGAGAAGCTTTGGCTGCCTCATCCATGGAAGTGGTCAAGGCCAGGTTGGATGAGGCTTGGAGCAACATGGTCTAATGGAAGGTGTCCCTGTCCATTATAGGAGGTTGGAACTGGATGAGCTTTAAGGTCCCTTCCAACTCAAACCATTCTGTGATTCCATGATTCTGCTGAACACCCAGGCCATTTTAAGGGATAACACTGACTTTGAAAGGCACAGTTGTGTGCCACATGCAACTACGACTGGGGACATCAGAGAGCTGCCCATAGAGAAATTCTAGGTGTTGTATTTTTTCAACCCTGTAGAGGTACAGATAAACTTCAGGTTTGTGTAACTGATGTACCAACAAAAAACCATCCCTCTTGCACACAATCTCTCCTACAATTGCCTCAGGACCTGACAAGATAGTGCACATAACGGTGTCCAAAAAGCAAGGATGAGGATTTTGTCCCAGCTGTTGAACATGTCCAAGCTCCATCACGGTGGAAAATATTTTGATATCTTTCAGGGAATTTTAAAATAAAATTTGGTATCTGCTCTCCAGGAGTTCTTTCAAATGCTGGGACTTAGGAATAATTTCAGAAATGTCAGCTTGTGTCTAAAGCTTACTGCAGAAAAATGTCCCCTCCACAATATCATCTCTTGGATCAACATCAACATCCTTTGGGTGCTGCCATGGCTTTCCTCACTTAGTATGGTGTTAAGTCTGGCTCTGTGTAGCTGAAGGACCAGGGACAAGGGTGGCAAAGCTGCCAGAACTTACCTGGTTGCTCTGCTTCCTGTACGTGCCCAGCATCAAGGTTCCACTGAGTAAGGGTAAGTCCTTCCGTGGCCAAGTCAACGAGGTCCTCCAGGATTTGCGCATCCTTCTGGCTGAGAGATAAAAACTGCCCATCTCCTTCAGAGCCTGACTTGAATTCATAAGAAGTTTGGCCTCCAGCCTCTGTGCAAGTGGGCTCATGAGAACTGAGTTCAGGCTGAATTTGCTGGGATACTTTTGGCTGATCAGATCCCACTGATGGCAGAAGGATATCAAGCTTATGATTCTGATCAAAAGAGGAAGGAAAAAAGATGCCATTAGATTAGGTCTCATTTTATGTATCTGCATTTGCAGAGCTTAGAGTACAAACTCTCCTTCATGCTTTTGAAACATCTAGTAAAGGATTACAGAGCATTCCCCAGGTACAGGGGCTTCTGAGGCACAAACCCTCTGCAGTTTTATGAAGGACTCTCCAGAGATAAGACAGCTCTGAAAAGAAGAAAGGAAACTACAACAGAATATGCAGAAAAGGTGGTTTTCTCCAGGAGCATGACTGTGCAGGCAGTTACCAAGCAGGGCTAGAAAGGATGGTGGAAATGCTTCCACTCCAACACCTAAATATTTCATTATAGCTGGAGTGCTGGCAACAGTCACAGCTGAAGCTCTCCAGGTGCTTCTGTTCTGAGTTCTGAAATGGTTTTGCAGTTATATGTAACTAAATCAAACCTTTACCCTGGAGCTGATATTTTCCAGGTTTGGTCTCTGTTTCCCAATAAAAATAGTTTTGTTTGTTTATTTCTAGGTAAAAATGGTTTAGCCATTTCTGTGAGTGGAAAGAATCAAGAGAAAACACAGTCTTGCCATGATCCTAAAGGCTTGCTTTCTTTCTATTTTTAAACTTCTCTGGCAGTTTTTGGCTTGAACAAGAGGCTTTGACTAGAGCAGAAGTATTAAATAAAGCCCCTATATATGCACAGTTGTTTTTGAACAGAAGCACCAAATAATTCTTCAAGGAAAGAATGAGGGAAGAAAGAGAAGAGATATCCTTCTTGGAAAGCAAGTACGTGATAAGATGAGAGACTAAAAGAGCTTTGTCTATTTTTGTAGGTACTTCTAATAAAAATACAGAGCACTGAAAGAGGAGGGTGATCTAGGTGAGAACGACCAGAACAGTTGAACTGAGAACTGGATCAAAGCTCATATGCACCAAGAGCAGTGGGATGCACAAAGAAACATGAAGTGCAAATGTTCCATTTGAAACCCTAGGAGCTCCCACCTTCTTCTCTGTACAACACCAATACATCTTCATTTTAAACTTTTCATCCAGATTCTTGCTGAGTGCTGCACACCAATAAAGCTCATACTAGAACTTATCTGAGAAAAGTGCCAAGAAGGACAACAAGGATCAAGCTGCTGTAAACATTGACAAACTAGTGGCAAAATGAGCAGGATGAGGTCCCTTTACTCAGTACTCTCCATTACCATCAGTTCTATTTTCTGAAAACTCAGAGAATAACGTGGTAACCTCAGCTTCAGTCTCCTCTCCAAAAGGGAGAAACCAAAGTTCAGGATCATAAAACCCTAACTGCGTAAGACCAGGGGACAACAGGGCACAAGCACTGAGTATGTAGAGGCAACGGATCACACGTCACTTATAAGGTGGGCTGATGCCAACCTTATGAAGTTTAACTTTGCCAGGTCCTACACCTGGGTCAGAGCAATCCCAGGCACAGCTACAGGCTGGGCAGAGAAGAGATTCAGAGCAGCCCTGCGGAGGACTTGGGGGTGTTGGTCAATGAGAAAATGAACATGAGCCGGCTTCAGTGTGCGCTTGCAGCCTAGAAAGCCAACCGTATCCTGGGCTGTGTCAAAAGGAGCATGACCAGCAGGGTGAAGGAGGTGATCCTGCCCCTCTACTCTGCTCTTGTGAGACCTCACCTGGAGTATTGTGTGCAGTTCTGGTGTCCTCAACATAAAAAGGACATGGAACTGTTGGAACAAGTCCAGAGGAGGGCCACGAGGATGATCAGGGGACTGGAGCACCTCCTGTATGAAGACAGGCTGAGAAAGTTGGAGCTGTTTAGCCTGGAGAGCAGAAGGCTGCATGGAGACCTCATAGCAGCCTTCCAGTATCTGAAGGGGAGCTATAGGGATGCTGGGGATGGACTATTCATTAGGGACTGTAGTGATAGGAACAAGGGGTAATGGGTTCAAACTTAAACAGGGGAAGTTTAGATTGGATATAAGGAAGAAATTCTTTACTGTAAGGGTGGTGAGGCACTGGAATGGGTTGCCCAGGGAAGTTGTGAATGCTCCATTCCTGGTGGTGTTCAAGGCCAGGTTGGACAGAGCCTTGGGTGATATGGTTTAGTGTGAGGTGTCCCTGCCCATGGCAGGGGGGTTGGAACTAGATGATCTTAAGGTCCTTTCCAACCCGAACTATTCTATGATTCTATGTTTAAATATCAAATGAGGAAACGGAAGGGTTAGAGGGCAAGTGAACTAGGGGCACACAAATATCACAACAAAGACAAAAGAGTATCCCACCTGCACAGGCTTCCAAGGTACAATTGGAGGGGTTAATGCAGCAGTGTAGAATGATTCAGGGTTATAATGTCCTGTCAGAGCACTGATATTCCATAAAAAGGACTCCTTGGCTTTAGACAATGGCAAAAGCCAGGTTGCTTTCCCAGATTCGTTCTCCAAAATCCTACTAGTGGGAAGCTGAGGTGTGGGAGGAAATTCGACCTCTTCTGCAAGCAGCATTGCTACTCGCTCTTGGATCCTTTTGTGGACCTTCTCCGGGTCCTGAAGTAGTAATGGTGGAGGTGCAGTTGGGCCTCTTTTACGCTGTTTTTTCTCTTTAAAAAGAAAAGGAAGAGGAACCCAAATAAATAAACAGCTGAACACAGAAGACAGAGGAGCTCAGCATGCAGCTCCTTTAAGCACTGTAGTCAGTGATGACCAAAAGACAGCTAGAAGCTGCATGCAACTCTTTGGATTACTGCAGGTAATCTGAAGCCTCACATCATCCTTGTAGAAGAAATAACTCCAGAAAAGAATGACTCCTGTTCACACTGCTCTGCTGCCACTGTTCACACTGCTGGGAAGTGTCAGATCTCTACAAAATCTGGTCATTATGGAAACAACTGATACTGATTCAGTCTACCTCCCAGCCTCACAGCACGGTGCCTGTATGCCAGCACTCTGCAATAAAGGGAGAGAAACCCACCAACAAATCCATGAATGACTCTGTTCTTTCGTACTGATGATGTCAAACCACAGCTCACACAAACAGTGAGCAGCCTTTTCTCAGAAATCCTGTGTATTACTACCTTTGCCTTGCTAATGCCCATCCCGAAATCCAGCTGGGAGTACTTATTGGCAGGAAGAGACCTGAGCAGGGTCATGAAAAGTGAAGTCTCCCCTTCATATGTAGCACTTGGCACTCTCCCTTAGCAATTGTCTTCCCTTTTACATCTTTCTGCACATTGAAGCAGCAAAGCACATGCCAATACATGTAGTGTACACATATGCCCATTATGGAAAGAAAACAAGAGATAAGGCTGAAATAGCTGCATTAATCCAGGTTATGGCAGGATGAATAGGAAAAAATCTACTGCAGGAGAAATAACAACAATCTTTTAATGTTATTTCTTTTCACTTCCATGGTTTACAAAAATCAGGTGCTTATCTTAAGAATATTTCATAGATTCAAACCAATCAAACTGAAAAAAAAGCATTATATTCCTAAGGGATTTCACTAAAACCCATGGACATCTTGCAGCCTTTCTTGACTGTGTGTGGATACTGCATATTGTTGAAGCTCTGACAGCTTAAACAAAACAGAAACAGGGCTGTCATCCCTCCTATGCCCCATAGATATAGGAAGAGCAGGCTGGGTTATGTTCCTCCTCCACTAACACAGCCTTTAATGCTAACTCACTTTAACACATACCTGATCCTGGCTTCCATTTGATTGGCAAAGCAGCCACTGGTTTCACGTTTGTCACTGATTTTGCTTGTTCCTGCTTTTCTTGCTCCAACAGAGAGCGTGACATTGCCATAGCGACCAGAAAATCTTCATCCTTAGTCTCCATTTTGGCCCTCTTATGCTTTTTCTTCGAGGCCTCTTTGGAGGAGCCTTTTCGCTTTGATCTGCTTGGTTGATTGCTGAAATACAGGAATGGAGCAGGAAACCCAAGTTAATGTGGCTGGATCCAAGACGAGAAATACTGAGCACTCCAGACCAGCTGCTCTACTTGATCAGAGAGACTCCCATATCAAGGATAATGAAAAACTATTCAGTATCTTCTTCCCTAGAGTGCACAAAGGATTTCTTCTCATCCATGGAACTTAAAAGCAATTTAGAGAAAGTCTTATTCTGAACAGATAAGCACAAGCTCACAGCACTGAAACAAGCATCCTCTATCTTTTACCTTGAATGTTTTTTGGTACCAAAGGGTAAAAAACAAGTTGAAGCAGGGTAAAACCAAGATCACCAGAAAACGCTTTCCCACTCTTCTGCTTCCACTGGAAATGGCCCTTCCTCAGCAAAAAGGGACTTTGGAGCCCTTCCACAAATTCAGCCAGGCACCACTTGCCTGGCACCGTTTGATTCTGATCAAATCCAAGAGAGCAGATGCAGCTCTGTACTGAGCACATCTCAAAACATCACGTCTGTTTCTCTTTGGCTTGGGCTGTAAAGCACATACATCCAATATAGCCACAAGCTGAATAGTTGAAGCATTGGCATGACAGATGCATCCTGAGGAGCACATGTTCAGTGTTTCTCAGGCCAAAGAAAGTAACCAGCATCTTTTATTTTACTAGCTTACCTGGGACACTGAAGAGGTGCCTCACCAAGGGTGGAAACCTGCAACTGCACTGCCTGAAGCAGCATCTTAGGGGGCACGTCCATCTCGACAGCACAGCGTTTCAGATGACTGACTCGGCTCTGTGGGGTTTGGAACTGCTTCCCACAGATGGGACATTCAGGGACCAGTGGTTTGCTGGAGGATGACATCTGTGCTTCTTCCATCTCATCCAGACACCTGTGAGATGATGGTAAAACTTACCTCTGAAGACTTTAAAACTGTCCACACTAAGATTTAAACCATATTAAAGGAAGCACAATCATCTCCAATATTTGTAACAGTCAGAAATATCCTTTGAAGAAACAAGAATTACATGCCCACCACTGCGATGAATATAACATGTAACAGTTATATAGATTGCCTCAGAGCCATATTAGAAACATGGTGCTCAAAGCAAGTGCAGATAATAACCCTCAACTTCATCATGTGTCCATCACCTAATCCCTCTCTCTGCATTCATGTTAACATTCCAGCTAACTGAGAAACCACTGTTAAAAAAAGAATCGCCTATCAGAGAAATCAGTCTTTCTCACCCAAAACAGGACTTCTTGTCCTTCTCACTACTTCTGTAGGCATGATCACATGCAGTGTCAAAAGCACAAATGTTTTCAAGTTGGATATCTCACTTGACAGTGTTTTATGTCACACAAAAGGGAGCAGTTGAAATTAAGACTCAGGAGTGCAGGATGATGGACTTCTAAGAATTTTATGGTAGTCCAAATCTATGTCTCCAAAGACATGTAGGGTGTGAACTCCTGGATCTGCAGCACCTATTATAAAAATCACTCCCCAGTTAGGTAATAACACACATCACCTACACACACAGGGCTGTGTTAAGAGACCGTTCATCTGATGTACCAGGACTGGTGACTATTGATTCACCAATGCATCTATCCACTTACAGCTTTACTTCTTGTGATTAAGACTGCTATCAGAAAATCCATTGCTAATATAACTTTATAATCTCATACCTGCTTAACAGTTCAGAAAGCAGACTTAATTTCCAAAAAGCACTTCTGACACACTGTCACTATTTTACAACCTCTGTCCTCTCAAGCAGCAGTAAATATCTGAAGACGCAAACAGTAGTAACACCTCTAAAGCTGCAGGTGCAGACAATCCTAATGAATGTGAGTCAATTCATAATGTGATGTAGTATTGGACAAATTAAATCCCTCTTGCTTCTGGAGGAGCTCAAATTAAGAAATTACAATCATTCAAATGTGCCATTTCTGATACTCTGTCAACAGAGGAACACAGACTTTTAATTTACAAAGAGCTATCTGTACATAATATATTAACAGTTCTTGATATTTACCACTAAGGAAACTGTTAAATTAGGGCACTAATGTCAATTTACTTATTTTTCTAAATAGCAACACCCTTCCCCCAGCAAACACAGTGACAGACTAGCTGTCCTTATGAAATTGGCAAAATAAAGCAAACGTTACTTTGTTGGCTGAAATCAGTAGATCTCCAAATCTGCAGCAGTGGGTCCTCATTAATTCTGATTCACAATTGCAGCTCCTCTGCCACACTACCAATGAAAGCAGCACTGGCCTGACAACACACAAGCAGAAGCCCTCGAGGGCAAGACAATCAGCCTCTGCTTTGAGATCAGAACAACTTATTAATTCAAGCCATAAAGGCCAATGCCACTCTGCAGATTCCCCTGCTACCATGTTCTTTAATGGCTAAACTGAGTGAGCAGTCTGTGAGGCTAAGGGGGAAAGCATGTGGAAAGGACACATCATGCCAGTCTTTCACCTGTTAACATGCTGCTCTCGTCGCTTTGTGTTCATGGCTGAGAGATCCTTCTGGCAGATCTGACAAAAAAACAAGCCTGCATCTTCCAGGCTTGCCAGGGCTTCCCCTTTGGTTTCCTGCTGAAGATCCAAAGCCAGAGCACCGTCATGTTCCATGGAGGGAAGATGGTGGATATCTGGCAAAGAAAGGAGAGATTATCTCAAACAGAAAAATGAGAATCCTGTATGAAAGACAAGGAGCTGTTGTACTTATTTATTAGTTTATTAAACTAATGTTCATTATTAGTTTATTACACTAGACACATAAAAATTAATTGCAATCTTTCTTTTGCATCTTCACACCTGACCTCTCACAAGGACATGTACAAAATGCCCTCTTTAAATGCTACAAGACTGTACTAGCCAAAGGCCAGGAGGTGGCAACTCGTTCACAGAACATCACATGTCACAGCCAAGTGAAGGGCAAGTTTTGGCTAAAGTTTCTGGGGACAACATGGCATCTTATACGTTACATATTAAAACACTGTAGATTGTCTGTCCAGAATCAACAGGACCTTGAGTTATAAAGAATGACACAAGAGAAAATGGCTGTGAATTCAGTTCATCTGCATAGAACGTATTACCTTACAGACTGCTTGGAGATCTACCAAAGATGGGGGCTACCTAAGAGTCATATTTACCCAGCAGCTGCCTAATGCTGTCCTAAGGGAACGATGACAAAGTTCACTGATCCTGCTGGAATTTCAACCTGTTTCCAAGAAGACAATTACCCCTCTGGAATCTAAAATGAGGTTAATTCAGCCTCAGAGAAGAGCTGGGAGAAAAGTCTGTACAGCCCTTTAACAATAGAGAAAGCAAGATTTCTCAGCACTCTGGAGTGATTTATTCAGTGCTGCACACTGAGCCATTAGGCTGGCTGGGAACAGAGCCCAGGAATCCGGACTGCTTCTCATGCAACCATGCTCACCAGCCCACAGCACTCTTCCTGCATGTACCAGAGGTAACAGGAGAAACATACCATCCTCTGGTGGGTTCTGCTCCTTGCTTTCATCAGGGAAACCTCCATTGGCTACAAACTTTAGCAAGCCATCGCCTGTGCTGTGTTTTAGCTGCTCAGGTGCCACTCTCTTGAACTGCTGCATTCTCTCCACTACCAGCTCTGCTACCCGCATCTTCGACCCTGCAAGTGGTGGTACCTTTGAGGTGGGTGAAGAGCAGGTCCCTGGCTGTGTAGCAGGACAGAAGGATAACGTAGTCTGGGAACAGCCACGCAGAGTATTTACTATAGGGAAGGAAAGCATGAGAGCTTTACCAGTCAATTTTCAATACAAAGCCAAGCTGCCCAGAGAGCTGCTAGGAAGCTTTCCTCAACAGCAGCCTAAGCCAGGCTGTTTTGCAACAACCATTCTTAAAGGAAGAAGTGAACAATTTGTTTTGCTGCCACATGAGTTTATACTTAATAACCACAGTAAGAGTATCAGGCTTGTGTGCTACAGTGGAGTTTAGATATTGCTACACCCCTTTTAGAGGAAGGTCCAGAAATCTAATATGCTGGGCTGCATCACAAGCAGTGTGACCAGCAAGTCAAGGGAGGCGATTCTCTTCCACTGCTTCACTCTCACGACACCCCACCTGGAGTACTGTGTTCAGCTCTGGGGCTGCCAACATAAGAATGTAAACCTATTGGAGCAAGTCCAGAGGACTTATGTAGACGGAAACACAAGGACCAAGCCTGCCTTGATCAGTGCTGCTGTATGTCCCCTCCAGGTGTGCTCCTGAAGACCTCCCCTGAACTACAGTCTTTTCCCTCCCAGCCTATTTTCCATCTGAACAGTTTTGGTTCACTCACCTGAGAGAGTCCTCTGGCTACACTCATTGGTTACTGGACTTGGCTGGCTGGCAGAGAGAGGGTTTCTCTTTCCACCCCCTTGTACAGCCTCACCACCATTACAGGCCACAGCATCACCGTCTTCTTTGTGCACCAATGTTTCTTCCTTTGGTCCCAAATCTTGAGGAAAGTATGTCTCCTTCACAGCTGGTAAGCAATGATTGTTTTGGCTCTTAGCAGCAGCTTTGCCTCTTCTTGATTTGCTTCTTGCTGCAGTGCTCTTTGTCCTGTTCTGAGCCCTTTTTGCTGCCTCAGTATCCCCAGTTTTTTTCTTCCCTCTACCCAAAATATTTGCCCACAGCTCTTTAAAATCATTGTCCTGTTCATCCATTGGCCTGCAGGGTCCAGAAACACTGTGGCCTAACGACACTGTGAGGACTGGAAGGCAGGAGGAGATACCAGAATCAGTTCATCATCTGTGACCTGCTATCTTCACCAATTCCCCTCCACCGTATCAGAAATGTCCATTCTCCAGACTTCAATGAGGTCAACAGAGTGGGCACTTCTGTGCTGTTCCGACAGCTCATTCTTCCACAGTTAATTCACAGCCATTTAGTAGAGCACATTTGCCATGGACCCCACCTGCTTTCACAAGTTAAGCACCCCAGTTTGTGCACAGCATGTGCAGAAGCTTCATGATGTGCTACAGTGCTTTAGAAAGACACTTAAAAAGCCCTTAAATAAAGAAATAAAAAAGGTGGTTATGTAGGATGGTATATGCAGATGCAGTGTGGGACAGGCTGGTGTAGAACTTTGAAGGAGGAAAGGATTTGCATAAAATAGTATGATTAGAAAAAGCACGTACTGACCCAAAACACCATCCCTATAATTGTACTACAGACATGCACAAGCTACATGAGGAAAGAAGAGAAAGCTTTCAAAACAGGTATCTGATACTGGGTAGGCTTTTGTCCTGCAGCTCAGGATTTGAGACTGTCCCTTTTTTATATGCATTCATACTTACATTTATATAACACAAGACCAGCAAATGGAGCAGGGAGAAAAAAAAAAGTCCTTCACATCAAGCAGCTATTCTAGAATGTAAAATTCTGCTTTGCGGCACCACAGCTTTAAAGAGGAGAGCCCGACCTCATTTTGAGAAGCAAATAAAGGCAGTTTCTGGCATTCCAAAAGGGTTTCTGGGACAAGTCTGAGAACAATTCTACCAAACATGTTGATCCTTTCTCTCCTCTTATCTCCATGCCTGCTCACCTTCAGGATTAGCTCTCCTGCCAACTAATACTGAACTTGTCCTCCAAGTACTCAAACCATGGCACTGACCATATTTCACAAACTGCTGTCATATGCACAAGGTAAACAGACTAAACAAATGGTATTTTTAAACTAGTTTCTTAACCTTTTCAGCTACAGTAAGAACAGCAGGACTAGCTAGGGGTTACTTGGAACAGCACTGGGTACAATGTCCAGATGGAAATGCCATCAACCCCCAGGCGACATTAAAACTAGATCTCTATTCTTAGACATTTTGATTGTCCTCTTCTTCCTACTCCTAAGTTCAGTCTGGTTCTGGCTATTTTAACAGAGGTTTTATATTGCTCCCAAAACCTGTTTCTTTCAAGCCTAAACCAGAGTGTTTCACTTGGAATGGCAGCAGCTGTGGTTCAGTTTCTCCAGTAAAACTCTGGGCACAGAAAGACTCAAAAAGCAGGAAAAACACATGCGAGATTGTTTTCTCAAATGGCTTGGCTGCAGACATGCAAGGCTGAGGAATGCTGGTTACACACTTTCATGGGTCAGCCTTTCCTATAAGCAATTACAGATGTTAATGGATTTATTTATTTTAAACTCAAGCTCCCAAACCAGCAGAGGATTTTGCTGTGAATCTTAGAGTAATTTCCTGTTAGAGAGAAACTGAAGTTTTATGTAGCCAGTTCATAAATTTAATTTTCCTGGACAGAATCTTGGTGCAGTTATCACTGTAAATTTACCATTTTTTTCTAAGTAGGAGACAGCATGTACAGAAAAACAGAATCTTACATCCTTCATGGCTTTAAATACCTCTCACAGATGCATTTGTGCTGGTGTATTATTTATGGTGAGTTCCTGATATTAAACTTTAAAACAGATCAGCACTTTTGCATTTGCAGTCGATGTTCAGGGCCCCAGATAGACCAAGTCAGGCACACAAATGATACAAAACTAAGGATGTATCTGTCTTACTCCTCCCTTTCCAGACCTGTATTTACAGGCTCCTGCTCTGCTCAGCATATGTGTTTCTGATGCTGCTGCTACTGGTGTACCCAACAGCCAGCCTTGGCATCAGTTTGCAGAGCGTAAAAATTAAAGACTTGAAAAGTAGCTTCTTTCAGTAAAGTATCTGATTCAGTTTGGAAGACTTTAGGACTCAACAGATCACAAAGCTGGTCAAATAAAACAAGTATCTGATTCATTTTGGAAGATTTTAGGACTCAACAAATCACAAAGCTGGTCAAATAAAACAAACAGCACCACTTACCTATCAACTTAGATGTCAAATCTATAGCCCAGCTGTGCCCTTCAAGTAAACGTGGATCAGTGAAATGGTACAAAGCAGGACCAATTAGAATGAAAGGTGGAACCTGGAAATGGAAGGAAAAGGCCAGGTTTAGAGTATTCTGTACTGACTGCTCTTTTTTGCTCAAGTTCCAGAGGGAAGAGAGACAGCTCTAATGGTGCTAAATTCTGCCACTTCCGTTGACCCATGTACCTGAACTATGCAAGTTCAGACACATTGCTCAGGATCTGCTCAGTCCTAGTGACCATCACTGCAGTCACTGCAGAGAAAGCCCAGAACCCTTCAGAAGGCAGAGCATGTCAGACAGACTAGATAGGGTTCCCCAGGACTTTGTCTGAGATCACAGCTGACCCCGATTTGAGCAGGACACTGGACTAGAGACCTCCCAAGTCACTTTCAGCCTGAGTTATCCTATCATCCTACAAACAGCCCATCCTTGTTTTTTCCACTGGGACTAATTTTGTTTTCTGGTAACTTTCTTTAAACCAGAACCACAGCAGTTAATTCCTACAGAAATCCATCAATGTTACTATCATAACCCTCTGGCCACACAATACCCTCAGCCACTTTAGGGCTCACAGGGATCTACTGAATTGAGTTCTCTGGTTTAGCTGAAAAAAATCCAGAGGGAAATATGGAGAAAGTATCCCTTTTCATCAGTCCTGTTTGCTTCCTTTGTACTTCATTGTCTGTCTTCTGTTGGGATAAGGAGGACAAAAGTTCTAAACCTCTTTAGACCACTCAGTGGTCTAAATTAATTATTAAATTGTATGTATCACATCGTCCAGTGTCTGTGTTCTGAAAGAGTTCCAGTCTTTTCTCAGCAGAATCCTTCCTGGCTCCTAACCATCTCCAGCAGTATTCCCGAATCCACTTCGCTCCATTGCTTTATCTGAGACGCATTGACTAGTACTGCAGACAGCAGACTGCTGATACTGCTGCTGAAGAAGTTTTGTATTGTTCGCATTCCCTCCTCATCGAGGCTCTCCAGAGCCTAACATCTTATTTGCTTTGTTTTGAAAGCATCCGCTTAGCTGAGCAAAGTTTTTACCTGAACAAAGACACCCAGGGCTCTTCCAGTGTCTGGTATCATTAAGGTGTTCCCTATGATTTATCTGTTTTCCCACCACCATGCTCTGCTTTACCGCCTTCCACGCTAAGTTCATGATCCATAATGCATGTTACCTGCAGGTTGGAGCCTGCTGGAACCACCTCTGATCTCAACAGAGCTGAAAAAGCTGCGTCACTGCCCAGTGCGACCACCAGGCGTGTGCTGAGGTGCATTCAGAATGAACCCTTGGATGCTCTTTGCTACTTTTCAGCCAGTTTCCTCTCTCAGACCATTTACGATTCACAATACCATTTACCATTCTTTATCTCTTTCCACTTTTCAAAGGATTTCTGAGCAAGCTACATGAATTTATTATTTCCTGCTTTGTTGACAAATTCAAAGCACTTCATTAGACTATGGCGAGACAGTCTACTGGAGAAAAAAGGCTATCATATTGACAAGATGCTAACAGGTTAAAAATACATGAAGACAGATACCTACAAACAACTTTACGATCATTTCAATCTGTTTAATAGGTACATATAAAAGACTTACTGCCTTGTAACTACTCAGTTCAACTGCAGAATCCTTCTTAAAAACAAAACAAACCCCAAACAGCAAAACCCAAACAGGTAAAACATCTGCTACCCTGCCACCTTTCTGAGCAGATTCTCTTTTAACAATGGAAAGCATATTTCTTTCAACAGTCCACAACTTGACTCTCTTCTGAGCTCTCAAATATACACCATCTGGGCCTGTTCACTTGCTGTTTTAAACTGCTTGTTCCAGGAACAATTCTCCTGCCACTTGAGCTTCCAAGAACGTGCCATCATTATGGCTAGAATGCTGTTTAGGCCTCAACAACTTGCACCCAGCAGATATCTTTTCTCCTCTTGACCCCCTCAGTGATGCCTCAGTACATACCATCCTCAATTGCTCATCTCTAAGGAAAGCCGGACTCTATACCTTCAAAAGAGGGAAATGACATGCTACCTTGGGAGCAATTTCCTGGGTTTCACAAGAAATGCCAGCACAAGTGGGATTATTTAACCCTAGAAAGCAAGGAAAAAAGTAACCTTTGTTTTCATACATACCATTTCCTTGTGGTGAAAGGACAAATTATCCCATCCTGCAGACAAATCCTCTCCCCCCCATCTCTTGGCTGGTGACATAGCCTAGCAGGCAGCTGCATTCCTGACTGGCTGTAGGAAGACCCAGTGTTGAGTCTGCAGCACCTGTCTCCCCCAGGCAGGAAACACAGAGCAAGGCCATGTTTGTGCGCTAGGCAGTGGGTTGCTGCAGGAAGGGTGGCACCTTTCTCATCAGGAGCAACTTTCTCCCGCTTCCTCCACCAGCAAGAACAACATAGGAGTGGTCTTGACAGTCCTGTAAGGCTGGCCAGAATGTAATGGGAAGTCAAAGAATGGGATCAAAGTGACTGACATCACCTTAGTCTTCAGAAATCAGTTAACTGTAATGGCCTGCATGAACTTGGACTGCTAATACCAGTGGTGACAGGGACATGATGATGGGATGCATGCTGCTGCGCTGGCACTGATAGTAATGCCCTCCTCTTTTCTTTTTGTGAAAGCTGTGGCCTACAGATTTCAAGGTTGGTAACAAAACTTTCAATCAAGCCAGTCCAAATACGGCAAAGGGAAAGAATTTCTGCAGTGTTTCTTCTGGAAACCACACCAGAAGGCAATCCCTAGGGATTCTTTCAGACCAAATCCTGTAACAAAAATCTCCCCACAGGTTCCTGATGGAGAAGAACTTACATGTCAATAGTATAACTTCTGAAAACGCACACTATCCTCCATACTTTTAGAGACTCCTCACTACTGCCTGTTCTCTCCAGCTCCTGCACTAACCAACACCTTTATTGCCGACACTACTCTGCAAAGACACAGCACCAGACCTGTACAGCGCAGGGTCTCTGTGTTCAAAGAAGTGCAAATAAATGTACACTGAGGACAGCAGTGCTTATTCTGTGAGGAGAGAGCAAATGTAAGTACGGAAAAAGGAATTCAAAGTCAGGTACCAGTTCTCATGTACCTGGTCCCTGACAGCCTTCCTGTGCCAGAAAAGGATGACAAAACCAGACATGGAAAATAGGAAATGACAAATTAACTCAAGTCTGTATAAGCAAGGAAATGATAACTGGAAAATCATTATCAGATTCTAAGGAGCAATCTTAGCATTGACCAGTATCAATGTCTACCTGACATTACCCACTTCCATTACCTGATATCCCATCAGAGTACCATGCTCCCATTTGTTTCCCAGACTATTCTCCCCCTGCTAGTAACTTGTACATATGGCAAAGCATTTCATAACCAGTAAAAAATCTATCATATTCCAGGAATTAATTTTGTATCACTACTTACATGACAAAATGTCCCTTTCGAACACTGTAGAGAACAACCTTACTTCATAAAGCACTCCACTGAAAGAGAAAAGTCTTTACTTTCTACCTCCTCTGGAAAGATAAAGGGGAAGTGGATATAAAAATAAAAACTAACGGTTGCTCAGGTGCAAATGCTCATGGTTTGTATGCAAACACAGTAGCATACAGATCAGAAATATATGCAGCTGGTGTTTCAAAAATGGTTATTTGACTGAAAACAACAAGAAATTACTAATTTAAACAGAAAAATACACTTGAGAATTAAGGACTGAATAAAAACATTTCAGAAGAGGCCAATAAGAAAACAACGCTTCTTAAAACATAACTTGGTTTTCAGAAAAAGAAATCAGACTAATAATAAAAACAAATATATAAAATAACAGCATGGTAAGGGAATGGGATAGCACTGACTATAAGCAATGGATTGTGTTAACACAAGGAGGAGGTAAAATTACCTAAGATTATTTATCTGGACAGAAAAGTTAAAGACTTTCCAAAAGATCTTTTGGTGTGCATCAAAACCAAAAAGAAAAACCTGCCAAGGCCATTAGATCATTACAAAACAAAGTGTAGAACTGTTAAAACTGAGAATACAAATATTCTTGCAATATCCACCCCACAATGTGCCTATTCTAACAGTGATCCAAAGCATACTGAAAAGCAGCTATTGAAGGTGTTTCCGTAAACAGATCATTTGCAAGTAGAAGTCACTGTGATTTTTCAAAAAGGACAATTAGGGAAGTAAACACTCATATTTCAGACTGAGATCAACACCAGACTGTGAAAGAAATGGCTTATATGGGAATTGATGAGTAAGAATGGATAGAAAAATTAATACTAATCAACACAGCTTTATGAAACCCAAGACCTCCTATGTTAAGCTAATATGTTTTTAATGAGACCTCTATGTGTTAACACAGGTGTAATCTTTTTGTAAGCCGTTAAAGAAGTATCAAAGGACAAAATGATTAATTAAAAGCATACAAAATCAATACAACACATTTAGAATTATTAAAACATAGCTAGGTAAGTTTCAAATTGCAACTGCAAACAGCAGTTGATGCATTGACGGCATTATGTTTCTAGCAGCATCCCACAGGGATTAACTCTCTGCCTATCTTGTTTTTCTATTATTTAGACTTAAGAAATGAGTTGGAAGAGACATACACCATCACTGATCAAGCTGTCTGGTCAGGCAGAGGAGGGAACTACTGAAGTTGATGACAGAGAGGCAGATTGATGCAAGCCACTTGGTAAACCACTGCAAATCTCAATATAAAGTCCTGCATTTTGGACAAGCTTACTTACAGGATAGGTAAATCTAACCTGGAAAACAACTACAAAGGAGTTTGGAGTCTGGACAGATGTTGAAACACTGGCAGACCCCTGTGGGAGTCTGTAGCCATACTGATACAAACGGGTCTGTATTTCTTGTAGTGGGTACACGTGAACACTATGGTGATATTCTTACAGTGCATCTAAGGCATGATTCCTTCCAAGGAGGAAGCACTGCCCACAGCACACAGAGCCAGTGGCACATGGCTTAGGAACACAGCTGGTTCAGGCTGCCTTTTCAGTCGCCAGTATACAACCTCACCCAGCCATCATTCTTTCATACTGATCACAACATGACCCTGTCTCAGGTGTCCAACATCACTCTCATATGGATAATTCTGACCATGGCAAAATATTCTATCATTGTGCAGATCAAGAATAGAGTAATAAGCGTTATGGATGTTTGCAGCAAGAAAATCAACTGAGTAATTAATGAAGTGAATATAAAGAGAAGTAAGAACACTTCAATGTTATAGATCCAAGCCATCTCCTTTCCAAGAAATGTTATTCTAAAGGGCACATTCACTGTGTATCAGTTCTACTGATACTATTTTTTTCCCCAAAAGTGTATTGTCTGATTTGTGATTATCATCACAAACCCAAATGTAAGGTGAAATTTAACACAGCATCTTGATTTCCCCACGTTCTCTAAAATAGAAAGATGCTTGCATTGGAAAGGTGACCAAATTCATGGATTTCTAAAGCTAAACTAATAACATATATTTTACACTAATGTTTCATTAATTTATAACAATTAATAACTTGTTGTCAGCTAAAATTATACAAGAGCTACAATAAAATACCCAACATGCTATTTTGCGCACATGCTGCTTCATAATATTTCCATGCTGTCATATCTGTTCTCCATACTCCAGCACCCACCATAAGCACACTTTGTTCAACTATTCTGAAAATATATTTGTACATTCTTTCCTATTAAAACATCTTCTTTTATTACCTTAGTTCCTTCACCTTCTCAATATCCAAATATATCGTTACCTAGAAGACTGATCTGAGTGTTCTGGGAAACTCTGGTGTCAACCAACGACCTCAGGGATGTGCAGATGTGTACCATCCATGGACTGCTATGATAACAGCTAGAGGTCAGCTCTCAGGCAATGATGTCAATCTCTTTGTGTTCAATTTTCAGAGAAAACTCTGGGCAAAAGCCTGGCCTACAACTGAGAACCCCAAAGCACAGTTGGAGTTTCACAAGCGTACAACGTGTCAAACATCCCGTCTAAATTGCTGTTTTCTATCATTTGACAGGTTCTTTTTCTGCAGAAAAAAAAGTGTAATAAAAACTGACCCAGTGGGAAAAGCAAATGCTCAAAAGAACTTGAGGTCCATTTTCTTCCAAATATAAAGGCCATGGTAAATTTTTTTCCTGTTTCTGCCTCTGACACATGCGCATAGTGTATAGCAACAAAATGACTTCTGCATCTTCTGAAAACTATTTTAATCCAAGCAGCAAAAACAAAGAGGAGAGCAGGGAGATGAACAAGAGGATTCTAGGCAGATACGAAAGCCAGCCACCCAAGGGTCTCTTTTTCTCACCAAAACAGGGACTTTACCTGGATGGTGATTTTTTGAGAGTTTATACAGAAACCAACAGACTGAGCACCAGTCAACATTTCTGCCTTTGGGCTCTACTAGAGTCAAACTATTAGGTACAAATAACATATGTTCTTGCCCAGCAAATGCGTAATTTTGGCTTTATTTTAAACCATCATGGTTCTTTTGAGAAGCACCTGTGTATCTGCAGGACCAGGGACAAAGTGTTGTCAGTAAACCAGGCTGCACCATCTGTTTCCCCTCAAGGCAGAGGATTCCCCACACACTGATCCTTGGGCCCTCAAGCCTGGAAGAGAACGACAAAATTCCATGTTGCTTCATGAAACAGCTGACAAGACTCCTCATAGCATCACAGAATGGTCAGGGTTGGAAGGGATCCTCAGAATGGTTTTCCTTTGTCACACTGCTGGAAATAAGTTTGCTTCAAGACTGGATCATAGAATCATATAATCATAGAATGGTTTGGGTTGGAAGGGACCTTAGACTCATCCAGTTCCAACCTCCTGCCATGGGCAGGGCCACCTTCCACTAGAGCAGGCTGCTCCAAACCCCACCCAGCCTGGCCTTGAACACTGCCAGGAATGGGGCAGCCATAGCTTCTTTGGGCAACCTGTACCAAGTTGTTAATGAACCTTCCCAGCAGTCAATGCTTGCTAAACTCTTGACACTGTCGCAATCAGCCCTTCTATTGAAGAGCGTTGCCTCTGTCACTGAGGTTTTGCTTTTGATGCCATGCTAACATCAATGCTGCGCTTCACCCTACCGAGCCGCACCGGAGCAATGAGCCACCCATCCAAACCCAACCGGAGCACCCCGAAACGCGCTGGTAGCGCCCCGCGGCTTCTGCTGCCGGCGGTACCTGAGGGGCCCTTGTGGGCTCACTCCGGGGCTGACCTCGGGCTGCACACCCGGCAGTGCTGATGCCTGTGGCGGCCACAACACCCGCCCAGCACGGGGAAGCGACTCCCGCTTCTCAACGGGTATCGCCAACCCCACGACTCAACACCACCGACTCGCCGCCGGCAGGTGGCGCGGCGCCGCGCTGTTGGCGCCAACGTCATGACGTCACGCCGCCCGCCCGTAGCTCACCCGCACCGCTGAGAGGACTGCCCCGCACGCCTGCCCGCCCACGGCCGCCGTCGCCACGTCCCACCGCAGACTTCTCCGCCGCGGCACGAGCTCCCGCCGCTCCTAGCGCCCCGCCGCCACGGCGGGGAGTCCCGGTGCTGAGCCGTAGCGCATGCGCGGGGCACCAACTGCCGTTCCTGTCCCGTAACGGGCGCGGCGCGCATGCGGGAGGCGCTCGTTAGGGGCCCGCCGCAGCTCTAGCTCATGCGCACAAGCGAGGACCGCACCCTCCGTGCGCAGGCGCACGGACTCCCTCCCGCTGGTTGCCATAGTGATTCGCCGGCCCTTCGCGGTCCCAGTTGGCGTTGCCTCTCAGCGAGGCCGGGCGAATCCGCTCGTCCTGTTGGGGGGGGAACCGGGCGCCCCCCCCGCCCTCAGAAGGGCCGGAGCCTCCCCCTGGGCAGGCAGCGGCACTGGACGGTGCCTCCTGAGGCGGACGCTGCCTGAGACTGGCAGGGAGGCGGCCAGCGGGGGCTGCCGTGCTCCAGGGTGGCGGCGGCGGGCCCGGCCCCTTCCCCCCCGTCAGGGCCGCGGCCGAGCCTGAGGGTTAGAAAGTGCTGAGGCGTTTGGTGAGGGCCCCGGCTTTGCTGCAGCCGGCTCTGGGAAAAGTAACTCCAAAAGAGGAAAGCACAGCAGAGCACTTCCTGTTAATGTGTTAAAGAAGTCTGAGCTCTCGAAATACTCGTATGCAGCAAAATAAAAAGTGTAAATAGGGAGAGAAACACCTCCTGTATGACCATAGTCATACACAGAATGGTTTGGGTTGGAAGGGACCTTAAAAACTCACCTAGTTCCAGTCCCCCTGTACTATCACTGCATGTCCATGTAAGCAGTACCTAAGCTTCTTGTAGCTCCAACGGGTCCATGTCCTTATGCTGGGGGCCCCAGAGCTGGATGTGGGACTGCAGGGGAGGTGTCACAAGTGTGAAGTAGAGGGGGAGAATCCCCTCGCTCGACCTGCTGGTCATGCTTCTTTAAAGTCACTTGTTTTCACGTCTAAAAGCTGAGGTCCATGTCTGCAGGACGTGGAGCTGCAGCGAGGCCATGATAGTTGTAATACTCTCCTGCTCATACAGATATTAATGGAATTGTTGAAATTCCAAGGCAAGCAGTTACATGGCTCAAGCTTTTGCCAAGCTTACCTGTTGACAGAGCGTTGCCTTTTTATTTTGTACTTCTTACTATGTGGGGTTGAACAGGAAGATGGATGCCATTTTTTTCCACTACATTCCATTCAGGTTTAGAGACCTCATTCTGAGTAGTAACTGATTTAGGATCAAAGATTATTTAATCCAAGTTAATAGCTAATTGTGGTCAAAGGTCTGCAGGTATAAAACAACCTCAGATACAGTGGGAGGAGGTGGGAATTCAGACACTGGATTTGCGTTTTGAACACGTTTTGTGTTAAAATCAGGATTTCTTTCTCAGTGCTTGGTATGGATGCAGCAAGAACACAAATCAGTCCTGGAGAACACTTGTTAATAGGCCAAGAAGCAGAGGGAAGAGGTCCAGCAGCTCACATAACACACCCAGGCTGACGTTCCTCTACTAATTGTGAGCAATATGATGAATCCTTTACATATAACATTTATTTTTCCGTAATTATATCTTGATCTGTAATTTGGCATCACCAAATTAAAGGGACATTCCCATAGTACTGCCTGTTTGAAAAGCTTAGCTTATAGAAGAAAATTAACTACAACTTTTGAAATGGAACAAGCTCCTGCAGCACCAAGCATTTTCGCTTCTAGGAAAGCAATTTAGTTTTTAACCCATGCTAAATTAAAACAATTTTAGCTGAAAACCTTTGAATTTTAAGCATAGAATTGGTTATTTTGGCACAACTGAGGGGTCTGTTTTCTGCAGCGAATCGTCCCCAGGAGATGGAATGGACCTATGTCAGTATGAGAACCAAAAACTGATATGAAGAAATCCTTTGGTTTGTGTCTTTCAACACTTCTGCTAGTTTATTCAAGTTGTTTCTGAAATTGCTACACTTATGGGAATAAGCACTCTGAAGAACACCCTGCAAGAACTCGCAAGCGCACATTGCACATTTCATGTACTGAAAAATACTCCAGTCAGATGTACTGAGGCACCGCATCGGTTCCACGAGAACAACTATTACAAGTGGTAGTTAGTGAGAGCAGTCCTGCAGAGAAGGACTTGGGGGTGTTGATTGTTGAGAAGCTCAACATGAGCCAGCAACGTGCACTTGTAGCCCAGAAAGCCAACAGTATACTGGGCTGCATCAAAAGAAGTATGGCCAGCAGGCCAAGGGGGGTGGATTTTCCCCTTCCACTCTCATGAGACTATACCTGGAGTTCTGTGTACAGCTCTGGAGCACCCAAGACAAGAGTCATGTGGAGCTGTTGGAGTGAGTCCAGAGGAGGCCACGGAGATGCTCAGAGGGCTGGAGCAGCTGTGCTCTGGAGACAGGCTGAGAGAGCTGGGCTTGTTCAGCTTGAACAAGAGAAGGCTCTGGGGAGACTTTAGAGCAGCTTCCAGTGCCTAAAGAGGCCAACAAGAAAGCTGGAGAGAGGCTCTTGACAAGGGCATGTACTGACAGGACAAGGGGGAATGGCTTTAAACAGAGGGGAGATTTAGATGAGATATAAGGAAGAAGTTCTTTATTGTGAGTGTGGTGAGGCACTGGCACAGGTTGCCCAGAGAAGCTGTGGCTGCCACATCCCTGGCAGTGTTCAAGGCCAGGTTGGATGGGACTTGGAGCAACCTGGTCTAGTGGAAGGTGTCCCAGCCCATGGCAGGGGGGTGGAACTAGATGAGCTATAAGGTCCCTTCCAAACCAAACTGTTCTATGGTCCTAAGTCACAGTAACATTTTGTTGCACAACACCCTAAATGCAAAACTGAATTTAACAGCACCAAGTATTTATCAGAATAGGCGGGAGGACTCAGAGAGCACCTCCCCAAGGCACCAGAGACCTGCTGACCCCATCACACACCTGCAGTTGGGGAAAATTCCCCTCAGTGTTCAAAGTGATGCTGCACACGGCCGACACGCGTCTTCAGCCACACCAGCCTCCACATCACTGCTGCCAGGCAACGCTGCAGCCTCCAGCAATTCTGCTGCATTTCACTTAGTCAAATGCATTTTTCTAACCCAAAAGTGCTGAGATACCAGAGAAAAGGGCTCCTGAGAAACGTGAAACACATTAACACACACAAGCATCTGCTTTTTCACCACTTGAATCCTTGAGAGCTTACTGTGCTCCACATGAGAAGCACAAACAACCTGAGCCTTGGTCATGTAAACACAGCCTTTTAAAAGTGTGCACTGGAAAGAGCCAAAGGAATCATGTTATTTCTAATCTGGATGGGTCTGGGAGCACCAATATTTAGCAGTACATACTGGCTATCATGCAGGGATGTACCTCACAGGGTGTTTCAAGGCTTCCAACTATTCCTAAAGGCAACAAGGACACGGCTGCCACTGCAGGGTGTATTTGCTATTTGTACCCAACATCAGCTCAAATACGCAGCCACAATTAGGGATATAGAGAGGAGAAGCAGCTCTCCCAAAATCAAGCAGCTCATCAGAGGCAGACTGATTCTCCATGCAGACCTACTGGACTTCTGCTAGCTATTTTTTAACAACTCACTTTTTCTCCCCTGCAGGGAACTGCTCTCTGTTAGATCTGGCATGGGGCCACAATGCTTTAGACTCCAGAATGAAAAATCCAGGCTTAATTTAATGCATATTAGTGGTACTCTCCCATGAATTACAACTGTATAGATGCTGGCAGGTCCCTAAAATATCAACACTTTGGATACACGTGAGAGACAGGATATTTACTATCACACGGTTTTGAGCTGTCTCTGCAGAAAACAGTGATTATGGAAACTTGTGGATACTATTGCCAATACTAAAAAGGTTTTAAAATAACTGTGTTTGAATTCACTGTGCAAAGGTATTTATAATAAATATGTAAAGATGTTTAACTACAGATCTATGAATGCACACATTACGTGTTACATACACATATACATATTTATCCCCAGTGTGCTGGAGTCAGCAGTTCTCAAAATGTGAGTTTTACCTTGTTATCTCTGCTCAGTCTGATGGGCAGATCCACTGGTCTGGGTCAGCACTTGTAATGACGGTAATGCACTTTTAATGCTGGTGACTCTTCAGCAGCTCCAGATTAACTTTTTAAAGCTTTTCATACAAACTGATTCAATCCAGGCCAGCAGTGCTCAGAGAAGCAGCCCTGGAGGCCAATTCCAGTGAGTAAAGTTTAGGGTTTGCATTAATTTGTTCTGTTAATCTGCCCTTCTCGTGGTCTTTCCCCATGCTGGATGACAAGAGATCAGCACAACACTCAGTGCACTGAGTCTCTTGAAAGGGGAAAATAAGCAACAATACAGCATTCTCCTCAAGAGCAGGTTTGTTTCATTTTCCTCTAAAGTGTAAATTTTGGGATGTTGCATACCATTATCTCCACCTCCACTTGTAAGCCTGTCAGGAAAACATGCACATTTCCATTCAGGAGGTCACACAGCACGGGTTGGAGTGTGCACATCACATTATCTTGTTATAAACCAAAACTTGTCTTGTTCTCCTGGGAAGTGAAATGAATTATAATTTCCAATAAGAATCACCGTAATTAAGTAAAGGCCACTAAAATGAAGGTCACTAAACATGCTAAGAATCTCTAAGAACATTAAAAATACAGTGCCCAACTAAAATCCATATCCTTGGATTTCTTGAAGCACACTGCAAGATAACTTGGAACGCTACTCTACTCGAGACAGAACAAGTCCATGACTGAAAGACATGAATGAAGCAAACCTCAGGTTCCATCTCCCTTCACCTCGTGTCACAGCTCCAAGTTCCCGAGTTTGTAAGGATTTAATTTAGGACAGTTCCATGTAGGATTAATTTACTGATTTACTTCCAGATCAGGTTTTAACCCCAATTACCCCTCATTTACTTGGGCTGCAAAAGGAGAGCTATCTTTGCTTGGCATCACATCTTTGTTTCTTTGTTAACTGTTATTACTTAACCCCAAATTCTGTGCAGATCATATCTTGACATTGCGAATAAAGTTAGACAGATATTTTTAATGGACAATTCATTACAATACCTTTTGCCGTATTGATTTAAAAAGAGGGGGAAACTCTTCTTTCACCATTTTTTCATCCTTCCTGCTGCTCTAAATAGATTACCAGCGATGAGACATGCAGGAGTCTTCACGAATCTAAGTACTTAGAGAAGCCTTTGCTCCTTGCACTCCTGCCAACTATTCCATTTTGACCAGAACTACGCAGACTTTTAAACCCATTCCCACCTGTTCATGTTCCAGACTCTTTCCAGGAGGAGTGGAAGGGTAAGAGGCTTGTGATTTGAGGTAAAATTCTTGCTAGAAGGGGCTCTAGGACTGATGGTGGGAGACAGCACCAAGGAGCACCCTTCTGTCATAGGTGAGAAAGGGAAAATGATTGTCCAGGCAGGCAAACTCCCCACTTGGGCTGCAGCCACAGCATCAGCCATGAAGTGCTCCAGAGAAAGTGGAGGGTAAGTGTAAAGCATGAGGCAAAGGAGAAACAAAAGATGATTCTGACAGCAGAGGGAGAACAAGTGACATTTTTTTACTGAAAGAAGAGCTTCCTGCTGATGAAAGAGAAAAACCCCACTCCAGAGGTGTCAGGAGGTGAGCTGTTCTGGGCAGAGAAAGACAACAGGATAGATTTTAGTATGCCATCTTCTTCTTCCCAAGAAACAGGGGAGACAACCAGCTGGAAAAGACTGTACAGGGTAATTCCAGTAAGCAGCCAAGCTTCCAGGTATTTTCTGAAACCCCAGGAGTTTTTGAACCCAGGAGTCACTGGGAAACTGCATGATTTCAATGGATAAGGGTTGGGCAGACCCAGAAGTGCCCTGGGACAATTTTCAAATGAACAGGGTGTTGGGCAGTGATGCTCTTGAAGCTGCTGTCACATTTGTGTTGATTGCTTCATCCAAACACAGCAGGTACTTGTCTTTGTGCCTCAGGATCCTGGAGGAGGTTTGTTTCACTGTGTGCTGGGATTCTTGAGTCCTGGGCTGTGTCTCTAACTCGGATTCACTGTGTTTCTTAGGGAAATTTATTTACACTCCATGCATACCTTATTTGTACAGTAAGAATATTTCTGTCTTACTTCACAAGGAGAGTGGGAAGGATTAATTAGTAATTCTGAGGCACTACAGAAGTGCTAAACATTATTAATGGCTCCCAAGTTTTCTTCTTTTGGAAACAGTGGCCATTTCTTCCCATAATGTTTTAAACAGTTGCTGCTCAAGGAGCTTAGATTGCAGATTCCTGGCCTGTGGTTTGCTCATAAATCACAGGCCTGGAGCCTACCCAAGACACTCTTGATAGTCTCAGCAGAAGTCTGGATGAGAGAAAACACTGTTCTCAGCCTGGCCCAGTGAACTACTTTATGGGCCAGTCCAGTTTCAAGGTCCTGAGCCAGACATTGAGAGGGATTCTGTCCAAGTTTAAAAGCATGAGGTCTCAGGAATGTCCTCTCAAACTGGATTTCACTGCCTATAAATATTTTCCATCTTCTGCCCTGGAGGATATAGGATTGACTCCACAACTGATGAGCCTGGGCAGAGCAGGAGAAAAGGCCACTCTGTTCATCAGCAGTGGTTTGTCAGCACACAAAGTTTAACTTGTAGAAAAATGAACAAAACCCCCCAACCAAAACCCAACAAGAACAAGAGACAGGCAGCAGTTAATAGGGTGCTAGTAAAAATCAAACCTGACAGATCAATTTTGTGCACAAAGCAGGGTTCAGCATTGCTTACAGCCAGGAAACTAAATAAGCTCCATGAGATTCTTCCAGGTTGGAGATCCCTAATTCCATCTGATGGGGAAATGGGGAAATCTGGTAGAACAAATGTGGAAGTAAAGGACACAACTAGCCCATGCTGGGCACATCAGAGCACCATGCCCACATGTTGTGTGCTGGTGGAATTTATGGTTCAGCTCAATCTGCCGGAAAAATCTACTCCTGCTGCAGGAAGAGCACAAGCTGGATGGAAACTGCCTAATGAGAAAATGCACTCAAGGATGAGTAACCTAGTACCTTAGCGGAGATGGCAGCTGGAAGAGCTGGAAACTGCAGCTTCACTGCTACAAACAGCACTGAAGTTCTGATGCAGGATCTGAACAAGCCTCTGCTTGCACAGTTTTGAAGTGGTGCAGAAAGTGAAGCTCCAGGCTCTAACTAGCTTCCTGTGGCTCCCTTTTCCCATCACATTTGAAACAACTCATCCCTTATGCTGCTGGTTTACTAAAAGCCTCTGTGGTGTTCCACATGGATCCCCTTTCAGACACAAAATCATCTACAGACTTGCTTTTGAGCGACACACCCATGTTCCTATCAGCACTTTAAGTCTCTGTTCCTCTGCATGATGCCATACATCCCCTTTTTCCACTAGGTTCTGTTCTGTTAGCCACACATAAACCCTTCATACAGGAGCACACTGCAGGTCTTTGCAAAATACAAGGGAAAGTGGAGTGTGAGAGGCTAGGACCCAGAGAGGCTGCTGATGTGTGCAGTGATGAAGCTTAGACAAAGCATCGGACAAAGTGTCATGATAAAGTATGTGAGACTGGGGTCAAAGCACCCTCCTGATCCTGCTGCTCCTTGCTGCAGAGGGGCTCTCAGGACTATCACCACCTCTTGTGTGTTTGATGGGTACAGTGACAAAGGGTAGGTCTGTACTCCAGTAACAGAAATCTTATCTGATCTTTTAGTCACAAATCTCTTCTGGCAAAATATTAGCACCTCGGGACTGCTGGGTTTCCCAGAGGATTCCCAGGACGGGAGAGGTTAAAGATATGTCAGTTCACAGCAGTCTCACAGTCAGCTCCACTTCTCACTGCATCCAATTTCATAAACTAGCGCCCAGCTCCAGGCATTCCCTCAACAGACACTATTTTCAGGCACTCTGTGAGCAAGCACCAGGTGACCAGCCTGCAGGCTGATGCACTCAACTGCCGCACTGTTAGCATCAGAAGGTTTTGATTTCTTCAGGCTCTGTTAGAATCACAGAATCATTTAAGTTGGAAAAGATCTTGAAGATTGAGTCCAACCATTAACCCAGCACTGCCAAGCCCACCGCTAAACCATGTGCCTAAGCACAAGACCTACACGCCTTTTAAGTACCTCCAGGGATGGGGATTCCACTGCTGCCCTGAGCAGCCTGTTCCATTGCCTGATCATCCTTTCAGGTAAGAAATTTTTCCTAATATCCACTCTAAACCTCCCCTGGTACAACTTGAGGCTGTTTCCTCTTATCTAAGGGAAAGAGACCGACCCCCACCTCATTACAACCTCCTGTCAGGTAATTGTAAGACAGCAATAAGGTCTCCCCTGAGCCTCCTTTTCTCCAGGCTCAACACCCCCAGTTCCATCAGCCATTCCTCATCAGACTTGTGCTCCAGACCCTTCACTAGCTTCATTCCCTTTGGACCTGCTCCAGCACCTCCATGTGTTCCTTGTAGTGAGGGACCCAGAACTGAACACAGTATTCAAGGTGCAGCCTCACCAGTGCCAAGTACAGGGCGACAGTCACTTCCCTGGTCCTGCTGGCCACACTATTTCTGCCACAATGCATCAGAAGGGGTGTAGGACGTAAAAGGTGTCTCCTTCTTCTCAACACCCTCCAAATCATCACATTAGTTCCTCTTCTGCATCTGAATGAAAATAGAATTTTGGGTTAAAACGGCACCCTGTGCAGCAGGCCCTTGCACAGACAGGCTTCCTTTAGCGTAAAGGGCTGGAGGTTGTCCTGTCCAGCAGAGCATCCAAACAGTTAACCACATCCAGTTCAGGAATCTTAATCTGGCAATTTAAAGATAAGCTAAACAAATATCAGGGCTACCTCAGAGCCCCCACTGAGCAGAAGGAATTCTTGTAAACCAGTTTGCATGGTGTAAACCAGACACATGGAGGGAAACCCAGTGTGGCATTTTTCTGTTACAAATTTCTTCTGTTGAAGAGCCACTGTTCCTTAGACAGGCATCAAAGAGCCAAACTCCATCTTTAAAGACAAGGCTAACAGGGTTCAATAGCTACAGATTCTCCTGTTTTCCCACCACACTCTCTGCTACTACCTACTGCTGTTTTCACAGCCCTCCCTCCTACCACTGACCAGTGCCTGATGCCCTCAAGAATCAAGCAGCATCTGAAGAGAGAAGAACCAATGAATCACCAGCTGGAAGACACAAAGACCAACAAAGTTAAGGGGAACAAAGGAGTAGAGGCATCTGGAAAAGGAGTTTATTTGTCATAAATACAGATCAGCTGGACATGCAGTTTATCCACAGAACAGGCAAAAACCCTGGAGACTCTCCAGAAAGCCACACGTTGGAAAGCTGTTTCCCAATTACTTCCCCTTCTCCACAGCAAGGCCAGGATGAACTCAACTATCCAGCAGCTCAGGGATCTTTATACTGACATGCTCCACCAACAGTCTCTGTGCCTGCTAATGGCAGCAATCCATCTCCACGGCTGCAAAGTCCTCCTGCCTGGTCAGAGGTGGAGGTTTGTTAGCAAATTAACTCTGTCAGTGGTGCACAGGGACAGCGGATTGGGGGGGCTGCATTCACAGACTTAACTGGGACTCTTGCTGCCAATATCTGTTTTGGTTAAAGGCCCTTTCTAGAAACTACAGTATGAATTGAGGCTCTTCACGCTTGTGTCAGAAATGTGGGTATATTGTTTTAGCAGTAGCCTCTGGATATTGTTCCCAAGACCATCACTCTTTGCATAGGTTGATGACATATGCTCTAATAATTACAACTGGCTCCTCCCTGTGCAGGGAGGGCTGGAAGTCCCCTCCATTCTCCCCAGCCCTCTGCCCCGTGAACCCATTACTGCACAGGGCCTGCAAGCAGATGCTGCAATAGTTGACAGAGTTGACTGCACTTGAAGGAAGAGAGATCGGCACAGAGTTCATCCTTCAGTCTTCTGTGGCTCAGTTCTTGTCCAGGATTCTGGTGAGGAGTTCATTCAGCTTGTTCACCATTGGTCTGGGATCCTCATTCAGCCCTGCTGCTATCATGGCATTCTCATAAATCTGAAAAAGAGAAAAAAGTATTAAATAAGGAGCAAGAGCAAGCTGCATGAGAGCTGGGGAGGGAGTGAGTGTCACTCTCCAGGATTTGCATGCCCAAACCAAGTACATCTTCTAGGCCATCAGGTAGGAAAACACATGGACCACAAATACCAACAATATCCAGAGTGGGGTACCATGGGAAGATGTGATTCTGGTCCACTACAAGGGCTTCACCACACATGATCTGCAAGGTGGCTCTGGGGAGAATGGTGCTGCTTCTGGAGAATGCCTGGCTCTCACCTGATCAAGCAACAGCTGGGCCAGATCAGGCTGACTGTCCTTCAGCTCGTTAAGCTTCTTAATCAGAGCATGCCTGGAAGAGAGAGAGCAACACTGAAACTTGGTATTTTCGGACACAATGAGAAATCTATTTCCAGAATGAGCAGCTAAGACAAGGTGGGACAAAAAAGGTTCTACCTAAAGGCCAAAATAGCTCCAACGATTCCTTGCTCCTGCTCTTAAGGCTTCTTGTTTCATTCCTACCCTGTTCTAAAATCCTCATGGACCCCAGAGGGCTGGACATAGCCTGTGTGGGTGGCTCATGTCAACTTTGCCATGCAGGCTCACATATTAAAGCCCTGTTAGCACATGCTGCACTTAAGGAGAACTCTGCTAACTGGGAAACTTACATTGCCTCCCCTCTGCCTCCATCCCAGGCAGCCTGCTGTGTCCCATGCCTAGCACCAGTACTATTCCCCTTACCTGGTGTTGATCTCCAGGGTGGGCTGCAGGAGCTGGGCACGTTCCTCTTGGGTCTTGGCCAGCTGCTGCATACGCAGAAAGTGGCGGGCAGCCCCCATCTCGAGCACAGTGATCATGGCAGGGTGGGTGTCCAGCCGTGTAGTCACCTGCGGCAAAACCAGCCGTCAGTGCTGAGATGGAAAGTGCATGTGGGGGAGGTTCAGGGACTTGCAGTCTCCCCAGCACAGATCCACACCAAGCCTCCACATGATTCATCCCCACCCCACAGGAGCTGCTTAAACCAGCAGGAAAGCTGGAGGCCCAAATGGCCCCACTGGTGCACAGGCAGTAGCTCATAGCTGTACCCAAAGCACTCCTTACCAGTAAGACTTTCCAGTCCTCAGCCAAGAAAGTCACAAACCTGTTCTGGTAACCTGAGCCTTAAGCAGTAAAATGGGCTTTGCTCATTACAGCAAGATGTGGTCCTTCCACTGCCACACTGCCCATTCAAATGACAAATGCCAGCACCTATATCATTTACATATATCACTATATACAATATACAGAGATGAAGCACATAAATGATTTATCTCAGGAAAAATCTATGGCAGCACATCCCCAGTTAACCACCGTCTTTTCCCCCTAGATGCCCCTAGACTTCCATGGATCTCCTGTACTCACTTAGCCACACAGAATACCTACCTTAACGCCAGTGACTCGAGAGCCTAAGGCATTTCTCATCCAGGCCATGAGATCCTCAGCCTCTTTCTCTGTCAGACGTTCTGCAGCTGGCAGGGGAAAGAGGGCACATCTGAGCATGTGCCTATAGCGTGCCAATGGACAGTGAGCTTTATCCCCAAGATCAGTCCATTTCATACCTCTATTTACTTTTCTCTTGTGGAAATGGGAAGGCAACACCACTTGGCACACACCTATGTATATGACCTTGCCATACCCAGAGAGGGCAGGCTCATGCCCTCCCAGTGCCTGCCTGTCTCTGCCAGGGCACCAGATGTGTGCACGTTGTTAAACTTGAACCATGGAAACTCCACCTATAACACTCCATCTGTTTAAATTACCAAATTGCTTAAATTTTGTTCATATGGGATGAAATGGATTTAAAAGCACTTCAAGTTGCCTCAGAGCATGAGAATGGCAGGATGAAAGGAATGCTCTTGCTTGCATGCTCAAGAGCTGCATGAGGACTGGAGGAGGTGTACCCTCACTGGCTGGCACAGGGCTGCAGGACTGTCTGCAGCAGGGGAGCATCATGATACCTGGGCTGCTCTCTTCAAACTTCTCTTCCTTATAGTGATCAACCACAATATCTGTCTCCACCGAAATCAGCTTCTTCTTGTCAAACTCCCGAAGGTGCAAGAGTGTCAGCTCATCAAATTGCTCATAGCAGAACAGGACCTGTGCCAAAAAAGGGACAATACATTGCTTGGGACAATAACACCATTTCCTCCTTCCTAAGGCAATTCCACACCAAACAGTGAGAACATCACAAGGAAACTAGCAGGTTCAACCCCATGGTGACTATCACTCAGGGCTCCGAATGAAAGTGAACCCTTGGAGGGCTTTGTTGCCATGGGTGGCAGGTCTGCAGCCAAACAAGTCTTGCTGCCCCATGGTGAGAACCAGCGCTGCCTCTGATCCTGAAAGGGCCACTTGCCTGCAGAGGGCACTTGTAATACCACTACCAGCCCTGCAGAGCAGCTCTGGGGCTCCTGCTCTGTGGTTCAGTGAAGGTTTAGACCGATGCACTAACAGCCTGCACAGTGCGTGACAGCTCTTTCCTGGCCTCAGGCTGCAGGATCCAGTCTGAGTGGGGACAGGGAGCACAGGAAAAGACACCGCAGTAGTGGGGTCTGTCAGAGGCCTCAGTGCCCTGCTCAGCCCTGAGGCCCAGGTGAGCCATGACCACAAATGCAGTGACTCAGGGTGTTTCACTGGCACACTGCTCACCCACCTCCATGTCCTTTTTCTTCATGGCCTCAAAGTATGGGGAGTGCTCAGCCAGGTGCCGGTTGGGTGCACACAGGTAGTAGATGTTCCTGCTCCCTGCCTTCATGCGGGAGGCATAGTCAGTCAGGCTGGTGAGCTGGCCTGCAGGCAGGGATGACGATTCATAACGTAGCAACTTTGCTATGTCCTCCTGGAAGAAATGTGCTCCTGTGAGCTGGGGGCAGGCAACTACAGCTCTACTTGACCACTGCCAGGCCCAAGAATTCCATTTGTAGCATGCAGGCCTCTTTGCAGCCCTGTAAAAAGGCTTAGGGGACTCCAAGTCCCTCCTTTCCTGCTCCAGATATTAAGGAGGGAGAAAAGCGATCTAGACAGGATGTAGGTCAAGCTCTCCTGGAAATATGAATCCAGGCAGAGGACAGTAGTAGTGGAAAGCCCTCCTTCATTGCCTGCTGTAGTTCATATTGCATCAGGGAGAGCTGAAAACACAGTGTGGGTAAAGAGACTCCACAGAGTCTCTCAAATTAAGTGGGAACCAGCACCTTGTCAGAAAGAGCGAGAGTTTGGGCACTAGAGAATCTGCAAGTCTTGTTACACCCAGGAACACAAGCTACGGGTGTGTAAGATTCACAGAGAAGTAGCAGTCCCCTCATCCCAGGTCATGGTAGGAGCCAGTAATCTTTCCCATCAGATGCAGTGCTTCAGGACTCCTGGTACCTTGACATCCTGCTCTGCTATTGTGACAATCCCCTCTCTCATGAATACTCCGTAGTCCTCAAAGAATTTGGCATATTTTTCAGGGTCCTTCTTGCTCTGGTCAATGAAGAACTTGATCAACTTCTTCTGCAAAACATCTCGGAGCTTCCTGCAGCAGAAATAATTCTTTCTAAAGATAGCTGCCAGACCAAGAGGTTTTGGGTGAACATCTCTCTCCTTGTGCAGTGTTTGAGAGATGCATTTGCAAACTTGACGATAAAGAAGAAACTGTGGGTCCACTGTCTCCTCTCCCTCATGGCTCTACATCTGTTCTTTGTATCTCAGTCAAGAGCAGCTCCAGGGCTGGAGAGATAGCTAGAGCTATGCTACAAAAGTATTGCTGAAGGTCAAATCTTCACTAACTCGTGACTCAGTGATGCTGTTGTACATAACAAACCATGCACAGGGCATCTGCCTCACTCCCACAGCTACCCTTACACATGGGAAGGAAGCAGCTATAGAAGGATTATGCTTGGAGGAATGCTTTCTGAAGGCCTGAAAATCGACTGTGAAGTGACTGGGTTTATTTGCCGACTACATTGAAAACAGAGGCGTTTCCCTAGCCATAGAATACAAAGTTAGCCATCAAACTTAACAAGGTAACACCACCACTGTTAAGGAGCAAAAGCCTACTTGTATATTTCCTTCAAGTTCCAGCAATGGCAGATGTTTGAGAGGGGACCTGAAGGACAAAAAGTAAGGAAAAACTTACTTCAGATCTCAGGGGTTTTTAGAGGACACTGGTCTGTGGGCAGTCAGCTTTGCTGGGCCTTGGCACCAAATGAAAACCCTGCTGGCTGGCACTCAGTTTTAAACAAATGTGTGTGTGAGTGCAGCAGAGCTTTGAAAGAAGTCTGGGAACAAGAGGCACAAGGCGCTGTTTGAAGATCTACACGTAAATAATAGTGACACTGAAGTACAGCCTAGCTTCCTAGTACTGACAGCTTTGGTTTTGTTTTCCAAACCACTTGGTGATGCAGACTGGACACTTTAAATAGCAAATCCACTGGTACTGCCATAGACCAGAGATACTGAAAGGCAGCCTAGGACATTAAGGACACATGGCCCAAGCAGGTGGCAGCAGATTGTATGACACAGGACACCCAAACCTCCAGATGTGACCAACATGACTGAGAAACAACTCACTTCATAGACTACAGAAATTCTCAAGAATGAAAATGCTGCAGTTTACATGCTGGTCTTTCCAAGTGCCTCTAACTATCCCATAGTGTCCCCTCCTCAACCAGCAAGAAGCTGGAAGAGCCTCAGCAATCCACAAGATCTCTTACTTACCTGATCAGTGCACTCTCCTGCAGCAGCTCCCTGCTGAGATTCAGGGGTATATCCTCACTGTCCACAACACCTGGAACAGAGAGCAACCCATGAACAGTGAGGTAAGCAGGAATGTCAGGTGGAGGAAGGCAAGGCAGCCCCTCGCCTCACTCCCTGTGGAAGCTATGGTCCACAGCCCATTATGTCTGGTCCCAGCACACACCTCTAAGAAAACGCAGCCATTTAGGCAGGATGTCTGCAGCTTTGGTCTGGATGAGAATTTTGCGGCTGTAGAGGGCAACGCTGGAGCCCAGTTCCCTGCTGATGTCAAACATGGACGGTTTCTGCAGCAGCAAGAGACAAAAGGGTAATACCAACACTGTGCAGGGTGCCCAGCTGCACACTACCCTGCAGTATCTCTGTGGCTGCACCAGTTGACCAGGTCATACTCTGGTCTTCCCTACCAGTGCTGAATCCAATGAGAGCCAAAATCTTGGCTGTCTTCCCTAGGGAGCTACCTGAGCCATCTCCCTGCTCCTGTCATGGCTCAGTATCCCCACAACCATCCTGTGGCACTCAGTCCACTGCATAGATGCCACACTGGATATTTCTCCTTGTCATTCTGCAGCTTTATCTGCCTCCTGTCCATGAGGAGCTCTCCTATTCTCTCCTCTTCAGAGGAACTGGGCAGATGTCCCCCTGTTCCCTGGATAAAAGGGCACATACTTGCTCAGGCACGTAGAAGATGCTGCGGATGTTGAGGGGAGCATCAGTCTTGTAGTGCAGGATGTAGCGGGGCTTGTCATAAGCCTGCGCTATGAAGTGGTAGAACTCCTCATGCTGCCACTCACCGATATCCTTGGAGTCCAGCATCCAGAGTGCCTGTGGAGGAGCAGGGACATGAGTTCCCATCAGCTCTCAAGACCCGTGGCCTCACAGTGTAAGGCTCTTTCAGAGTTATACTTTCCCTCCAGGATGCTGGAGCAAGAAAGTATGATCTTTCAAAAAGACTCCTCTGCACAGCCCAAGGGCAGTGAGATGTACTGTGATTCAGGCACATTATCACAGACTAACAAATTACTGCTCCCCAGCTGATCTCAGGTCACTTCCCATAGAGGTGGCCCTGCAACATACATCAGGCAGCTTTGTTTAAGCCAAACAAAAGGGATTTGGCTAACTCCCACTGCCTCACACTTGGTACTGCTAAGAGCATCCTGGACAGCTACCACAGCTCAGCTGACTGGCAGCACCGGTCAAGCATCTCAAGGTTTGACCAGCAAACAAAAGAAAAGTGAAAGTTTAAGTGGGTCTGTTTCAACCAGCCAGCCATCCTGATGGAGGTCACTAGCACTATTGACATGGTTTACTGGTGTACTTGGGAGTCCTGGGATAATGGTTGGACTTGATGATCTTAAAGGCCCTTTCTAACCTAGTTGATTCTATGGTTCTATCATCCCACCACCAGGTCAGCCAAGTGCTTGTGAAGCAACTCCCAGATTGCCTGTTTTCCATGGGTTTGTTTTGGAGCAGTTCAGGAGATGCTTTGTAAACCACTCGTCCATCCTTGCTGCAGGGCCAGAGTGCTCCAGTAGTACCATTTTACATGCTAACATGTGAACTGAAGTCATAAGCTCCAGATCAGGTGCTTTCCAGTGGCCATGCTTTCCCCTTGCTGCTGCTCTAAACCCTCCAAGGCTTTCTGAAGCATTCAGCCCATGCTCACATCACATGAAAGTTTTCAGTACCTCAGCAGAAGACCAGCATCTAGCAAAGACATGGGAGGTTCTGCACATTTAACAGGCATTGGATATCAGCTAAGAATCTTATGTCCCCAGCCAGGTGAAGCCCACTACAGCCACTGTCACTCACTACTACTCAAGCCCTAATGACAGAGCGATTACTGAGGGCAATGCAAACATCCAGCCCACCCTCCACCTACCAGAATCCAAGGGATTCAGGGCCCTGGTACCCCTACCATGCTGCCATGCTCCTTAAAGCTTCTTCTATCTCAAAGCCTTGTTCCATGAGTGGCTTCGTCACATTTCCAGCTCACACAAGTGTCCTGGAGGGTTTGCAGGAGCACAGGTAGGATTATGGACTCAACTGGGTACTAAGGTGTTTTGCAGCAGCTGTTGTTAGGTAAAGTGCTGCTTCCCCAGAGGCTTACTTGTAGCTACAGTTATCACAGTTACACCAGAAAAGCCTCTAACTCCACATAGTCCACTACATGGCAGGCATTCAAGAGCTTATCTAGGAAAATCCACAGCAAGTAACTAACTAGGGCTCTGTTTACAGTGAACTGATGATGATATCTGGAAAAACACAAGAATAAGATCTTGGGTAATGCAAAGGCCTGAAACAGGAGCATAATGAGAATAAAGCTGTTGCTGTAGCCCAAGGGAAAAGAGACTTTCTGATAAGGAGATAAAAGTACACGACTCTATTAAGCACCCCTTGCTCTAGTACTACTCTTCTCTAGGGAGCCTGTTCTGTTGATTGCAAGGTAGAAAGTGCAAACAGCTGTCTAAGTCTATTTCCAGTTTTGTAATTTGAGGGAAACAGGTATAAAGTCTCTGGAACAGAAACACTATTACACAGGAATCCAAATAAATATCAGTGACTGATAACAGCAATTACAGAACCTTAGATAAATGATAATGAATTTAAGTGCAGGCTTGAAAGTTTATGCATTCAGTGCCACATTCCAGCAACCAAAAAACCCACACACATGCTCTCTGCCTGCTCTCTTAGGTAAGGAAGCTTTAAACAACCAGAAAAGGAGAAGCTGGAAGAAAATGATTCATAGTTTCTTGTTTTAAAGATAATTAATTTCGCCAGACTCCTGCAACTGGGCCAAGAACTTACTGACTAAAATAGAGCTGGCTGCAATATAATTGCAAGTGGGCAGAAAATGCATCAAGCAGTGCTCAGCTAGGAGCTGTGAAGAAGATCAGGCTGTGACCTGAGCCACTTAGAAAGCCAACCATTCACTGGCACTGGCTGTCCCATGCTAAAGGACAAAGAACTGAAGCAAGAGGTGTCAGCACACCAGTGATATGAGCAATCCCCACACCACTAACATGTCACCTGGCTGGAACAGTTAGAATAAGTATTATAAAGCACCGAAATAATAATTCTGATTAAGGGAAGATCCAGAAGATAACTATAAATAAAACCTGCTTTGCTAATCTACAGGAATTCTCTCCAACAAATGCAAATAAGCAGTTCCAGGCATGACTTCTGCTGGATTTTTTGTAAGAGCAAGTAGAGATAGGATAAGGGGGAACGGCTTTAAACTGAGGGTGGTGAGGCCCTGGCACAGGTTGTCCGGAGAAGCTGTGGCTGCTCCATCCCTGGCAGTGTTCAAGACTACGTTGGACGGGGCTTGGAGCAACCTGGTCTAGTGGAAGGTATCCCTGCCTGTGGCGGGGGGGTGGAACTGGATGATCTTTAACATCTTTAACCATTCTATGATTGTAAGATTGTCTTCTTTTGTTCTAACTCACTCATCACTGCAGGGTCTGTGATATCCTGGACAATCCTCCCGATCTCCAGGGACAGCAGCAGCTCTATGCTGTTTTCTGTCTCCTGTGGGGGATTACAGTGGTTCACCTCCACAAGTGACCTCAAGAGCCCTCCTGCTCACCTGCAGTGTGTTAATTCTTCTCCCGTTGAGGTACAGTGGGAAGCTGATGAAGTTGCTGTATTTTGTCACCACCTCTGGAAAGGAGACAGAAGACACAGAAGAGCTGCATATAGGAAAACCACAGAGTTAAGAATTTCCTCAGTAAGAGCAGATGAAAGGTGTTGCAGGAGAGGAGAAATGCTGTAAATGCCCCTCCCACTCATGGGGCACCAATAGCCTTCACACAGCCCCATAGCAGGTAACAGTGTAACAGCACTTGCCTCCTCCACTCACCCTTGACTCGGTCTTCATTTGCAAACTCCTTGCAGTCTTCTTTGAGATGAATAATAATCTTAGTCCCAGTTCTGACACCAGATGCTTCTGCAATCTCAAACATTCCTGAACTAGGATTAGAAACAGACCCTGTGTCATTTTGTGCCTCAGATACACCCATGATAGGACATTAAAATGTTTTATTAAATTAAGAGCACACACAATACTTCAGTGTCAAGCAGAAAAGACAGAAAGTTGGGAATGCCTGAATGTTCTCTGTGCCCCTGAGAAGCCCCCCCGAACATGTCGCTGTCTTTCCTACAGAGACTCCACACCCAGCACACTGGGTGTTTCTCTGTAAAGACACCAGCAGCCTCTACTGAAAATGAAACAAAGTTCAGGTTGGTTCAGCCTAGCCTTCAGCTCCTCTCCTACATTTCCTACAATGACTGCAACACCTAGGCTCCTGCCTTCTCACCTGTCAGCTCTGACATGTTTGCGGGCTGTTGTTCGTATCTCCACTGGAGAATGCAGTGACTGGTTACAATGAAAAGCAGCTGTAGTCTGCTGAAGACAGCCCTTCTGGATGACCCCTCATACCCTACTGCTAAGTGAATGCCATATGGGGATCAAAGACTGGTGAGCACACTGACCCAGGGCAGAGCCAGCAGCAGCAATGACAGACAAGCAAGCCTTCAAAGCGTACAGCAGTACAGATTGCAGTGTATGGCAGCCTGACTACAGCCAAGACAGTCTGATGTCTCAGTTACAAGATGCTTTTTCAAGAATTTAAATAACAGTAAATTCTTTATTCCTAGGAGATTTTAATTGAATGCAAAGCTTGTAAACCCCAGAAGCTTTAATTTCAACATGGTCCAGCAGTCCACAGCTTTGTCATCACTGATGTTTGCAACTTCAAGCAAAAAGCAAAAGATGAGCACACAGATCTGACACACAGAAGACGTGCCTACAGAGCCACAGCATGGCACAAACCCTGCTTACCATGGGTGCCCTCGAGCAAAAACCCAGGGGATGACTAGGCCAAAGAGGTTAAATATGTCTCTCCAGTCTGGGGCACTGCTGAGATGATTGCCTGCCAGCAGGGAAGGAACAGGAGAGGCAGGTACTCTCTTTGTTCACAACATGCCTGCTCCAACAAAGCAAGTTTGTCCTTGTGGTTTTCACCCTAGCACATCTGGCTGCACTTTGTTGCAATGTATAATCTGTGCAGGATCTAAACCAGTAAGTGTGGTTATGAAAGACAACACAAGCCCCATCTTGATTTGCACAGCTTTCAGTCTGTGCCTGGCCTGGACTCAGTGCTGACATGCTTCCATCCCATTCTGTAGCCTTACCCGTCTGATGACCAGTGGTAGCCTGGGCTCCCTGGCTCTGCAGACTGTGAGAACACCTCCACTTTATCAGCCACCATGAAGGCTGAGTAGAAACCCACTCCAAACTGGCCAATGATTTTACTGCTGGCTTCAGCTTGGCTCTGCAAAGCATCTAGAAAAGCCTAGAAGAACAAAGGAGACATAAATCACCTGTGATGTCAGGTACCACCAGGAGGCTGCAATCCAGCCTCTGGCTGGGCTCCTCATGCCCTGATGCAGCCCTGTGTCAGGTACCCAGGCCAGCAGCCCAGCCTCATCCCACAGTTCCACATTCAGTGCTCTGAGGGCAGTGCCTAAGGAAAAGGGTTTTCTCACAGGGGACTGCACCTCTGGAAAACAGGAGCATTGCTTAGGGCACTGCCACTAGGAGTAAAGGAGCACAAGCGATGGCTCAGTCAATCAGAAGCATGAAACCTTAAAATAGTGAATCCAGCGATGAAAAACAAGATGAGGTATATCTATGGGGCACAGCTGCTGCCCCCTGGACAGTGGGTGAATGCTGAGGGAACATGTGCCCCTCCATAATGATGGCCTAGGGAGGAAGGTGTTTGGGAGCGAGGGCAGCCAGGTGCAGCAGGATTACACGCAGTGCCCATTAGTGCTGCTTGAGCACCACAGCACACACCATTAAGAGCTACAAGACTCCAGAGGTAGGTTTCACTTTCCAAGAGGGGTGTAACTTCACAGCTGTGTCAGGGGCCAAGGGACAAAATGGAATGAGAAATTACTGAGAGAACAAAAGTGGCTGTAATTGGAAAAGACTTTTCTAAGGCGGGGGGAAAGGGATGCCTCATCCCAAGTTACCTTTGAGCCTGATCGAGCAATGGTACCGAGGTTAGAAACCAGCTCCTCCTGGGTCATCCCAATCCCTGTGTCCTGAAAACAAATGGCAATTGTAGCAAGAATATCAGTAGAAAAGCACTGCTTTAGCAAACAGCAACCACACAACTTCTGACTCCCACTCTCTCCCAGCCAGCTGAGCAGAAAAGGCAAGAGGAGGCTTCCAGCTGTAACTCTGCCTGTTCATGGTCAGGACAGTGGACTGAAAAGGCATGCAGCTCCAAGGGAGCTTTTCAGAAAGCTCAGAGACTCAAGCCATTTCTCAAGAGAAGACAAACCCATGCTAAGACAGGCACAGGACAGTGCTGGGAACAGATCTCAACTCAGTCACAGCCTCCCTGTGCCAGCTGTCATGTATGTACAGAGAGAGTTTCCATTCCTGAACACGTCCAAAGGGGAGGCTGCGAGAAGCAGATGGGGACCCGATCCTCTTGTACCCAGAATCTGTGGCAGAGCGGCAAGTCCCTTAACTCTGAAGTAATGCAGACCCTTGTCTATAAGCACCACATTCACTGATCTCCATCAACTCTGTCTTCCCCTCACATTAAGGTCCACAAGACTTGAGTGTGAAGCTGTCAATGCCCAGGTCCCTGAGCACTGGGTACTGCAGTGCCCATGGGGACAGACTAACACCAGCCACACCTCGCAGTGCTCTGTCCAGGTTTCAAAGGCACACAGTTTGTTGTCATCACCACTATTAATCCAGATTGCATTGCTGTGTGCAGACAAACATCTCTGCTGCTAGCATGTGCCCCTCAGGCAGCAGGCCCTGCAGCAGCACATCCAGAAAAGGCTGCAGCAAGCCTCAGACTGGGCTGCAGTTTCATCTGTTCCCACAACATATTTGCATGATCCCAGGACAACACGGTTAACAGCAAACCCCAGCTAGAAATGACCACACAGGATCCCAACAAAAATCTTTCCCGCTTTGTAGTCCAATGTATTTTCAGACTTTCTCGATATACATCTTGCAGAGCAGCAAAGGGCAGGCTAACGCCCCCAGGATGCCACTTCTGAAACTCCCCTCCCCAAATCCCAGCAGCTTCTCTACCTGACAGAAACATCGGAGAAGCTAGTCTTACAGGTTCTCTGAGCCACTCTGTGAGGCAGCAGCAGAGTGAACATGAGGCAAGTGAAAGGTGATTCTTATCCACATGAGAAGTTCAGCTCTACTCCAGTAGTGGTGAGCACAGTTACCGCAGCTGACAGCAGCCTGCACGCCCGGAATGGCCAACATGCTCACAGTGTTGTTAATGCAGGGTGGGATTCAGTGTGCAGGAGTCAGCAAAATGAGCAAGGGCAGAGCTGACTGCTGATAGATGGCTCAGAGGTGAGATGCCTCTAACCACCCATGTGGGGCATTTGCTGGGCTTATTAGCAAAGTAATGTCAGTACGTGTTTTGTAATACAGTGTTTAACTCCACTGAAGGATCAAACTGCTGAACTTGTGAGGTGCTATGTGGGTAAGACATTTTTCTGCAGCCCCCCAAGTCACAGTGCAGCAACACCTTTCCCTTGATTAAATACACTAAGGCCAGTCAGTTGACTTGGCTGAGAAAAGGGATGATGCCCAGTAAGATCTCAACAGCAGGAAATGAAAAACCAGGAAAAACAAACAGGCTATGGCAAAATCTCAGGAATCTGACATGGTCCCTTCCCCCAGAGAAGAAGAAGCCAGAAAGAAAAGTTTTCAGCATCTGGTTCAGGTTTTGTTCATGCCAGACTCTGAAAAGAACTCTTAAATCCTCTGATCCAGTCCTATTTATAGCACAGCATGTCATTCCAAATTCCAGTATGTTAAAAAAATATATATCCCTACCCCATGAATTTATTTGGCTATCAAATTATAAGTGCCCTGTCAAACTTATTGCAAAATGTTTAATGGCAGTTCCTGCAGACTAGTTCGATGAGGGCGAATCGCAACAAAGAAAGAGAGCACGGCTCAAACACTCCGCTCGCCCAACAGCCCGAGCCGCTGCCGCGGAAGCCGGAAAGTCCTTTGAGGTGGCTCCTGGCCGGGCAGACATTTCCTACTGCAGGAAAACACCTGGGCGGATTGCGAGGGAAAAGCCCTCAGGATTCAAACCGCTCTGGCCGCGGACGCGCTTCCTGCGGCTTTCCTGCTGCGCTTCTCCGCTCCCTTCACCAGATGGTGCTGCGCCGGGGAACGGAGGATAAAGCGGCGGCGAGACGGCAGAGCTCGGCCGCTGCAGAGCAGGCCCATGGGAGGCAAATGAACCTGCCACGAACAGCCCGCCTCCGGCTGGGCCGACGCGAGCGCTGGCAGCTCCATGTAATCCAAAGAAGGAGCTGGCTGGACTTCCACTGCCCGTCTCACACCGCTCCCTGCTACGCATGCTGCTGCTTGTGCTCTGGGTGTCTTCACCAGGAACCACTGTGCCATCACACAACCCCCTCGAACGCTTTCTCCCCCTGCCTTCAGTGTGTGTGGAAAGTTTCATGAGGCTGCAAACAGCCACAGTAGAGTCACTCATACAAGCACGAAGCAAACGGTACACGGGGCTTCACAAATTACAAGGTGTGATGGGTATGTTCAAAGTGCAAAAATGCTTCTCCACACCTTGGAGTAACCACCCACTGCGTACCATGAAACAGAGCTCAGCGCGCTGACACTTCATTAGCTGAAGGTTAATTACAGAAGCCCTTCTGTTACTGAGCAGAACAACCTACTCACCTGGTTGAATTTCCCTTCTGTGACTTCTTAGGGTGCAGAGTAAACAGCCTCCCCCTGAACCATCCCCTCTACTGCCCTGTCCCTCTGCAAGGAAACACCACAGGACACAGACCTTCACCCCATCTTCTGAAGAGCTCTACAGCCAAACTCATTGAACTACACTTCTAAACTAAGTAATATTTACCCTGAGGAGACAGCAGCTGAACATTGCTTTTAGCACCTTTGTGTGTGTAAAGCCCTCACAGATGCAAAGCCTGCTGTTGAACTGTAGAGGACCTTTGTGCTTTCCCTGCATTTTGTTCTAACCTTTGTGGTGTGAGTGTTGGACATTGCAAACAGAGGCTGTTCTGTGTAACAACAGCGGGGCGAGAGAACTGTCCTGCATGCAGTACCTCAGGGCTCCCACAGTAAAATCCTCCATGTTTGCTCTGCAGCCCTGAGGGTCTCCCTCTTCCTTGATGAAGTGGTAAATGAACACCTTCAGCCCAGCTATCTGTCTCATCAAATCAGTCAGTCCACAGCTCTTGATTTCCTACCATACTTTTTTGGTAAAGCAGAAACCAACTGTGCATAATTACAGAACAAATTAGTTTAAATCAACAAATTTCTTAGTTTAGCTGGTAAGCAATAACCTCAATAATGTAACATCTTTGCTCATTACCCAAGTCCAGGACAGTAGCTGCACTGAAGCAGTGTTCTGGTTTAGAACCAATATGGCATCTGCAGCAACACCCAGCAGGAAGAAAAGCCACAATAAGACTGAACCATACAGACACAAAGTACTCTTGGCCTAGTACATGGAGGCTGTCCAAAGCAGAAAGCCTGAGGGTCTCTTTCCTTCCAATACCTGTGTTAACATGATTTTCAACAATGCTGAGCACTGCTACAGACTCAGCCTCCCCCAACCCAGGTCTAAATACCCACTGTTCAGAAAAGTACTTCCTTCTATGCATTTTGAATTTCTCATTTTAAAAGGTGACATGCTCCTATTCTGGCATGAAGAGGAAGAAAAGATGCTGCACTTTCTTTCCTAGGCTGCAGGTTATTTGATACATTTATATTTCTGGTTCCCTGGCTTATTTGTTAAAGATGATGCAACAACTGGAAGCTCTAATGGCTCCTCTGCAATCAGTGGCACATTTCCATAAGCTTAATTCCACCTAAGGCTTGTTGAAGTACAGGCAACTTTACCCCTCCATCTCCACCTGCATTATTGTCCACCTCTTGCTCCACAGCTTCCTCAGGCCCAAGTAGCAGAGGGATACTGCAGTGCTGCTCAAAGAGAAGAAGGACGTAACCCTCTCCCTACTGCAGCCTGGTAGCTGGACATGACCCAGCATGGAGGGGGACTGGCTCCCTGCCTGCACCAAGCTTCGGTGGACATGTGGATGCACCTGCATTGAACCGCTGAATTCCAGTTCCTCATCAGAGCCTCAGGACAGCCCCATTGCAGCTTTGTTGCAGACTCTGTATAACTCCGGGAGAGATCTGCTCAGTGATGCAGGGAGCAGTTGCAGGGAGGAGTGGTGTTTGCAGTCATTTTAACTCCTCCCAAATACAGCAAACTTGTTATTTTGTGGCTTCACAGGCACCGATTTTGGATGACTGCAACAGTGAGAAGAAAGCCCAGCAAAGAGAACTGAGCAGCCCAAGCTCTGGCAGCAATGATGCCCCTTACCTGTGTCAAAACAGCAGCCACACTCGCACCCAGCAGCAGCAGCAGCTATGAGCTTTGGGAACATTTCCAACAATTTCCTCCAAACTATTACCACTGCCCTAGCCCTAAATGGAGCATTAACAACGAGCAGGGCTCCAGTGCCTGAGCTCAAAACCACACAGCAGTATGGCAGAGCTGTGCAGAGTAACGCTGACACCATCACAGCCAAATGCCTGTCACCAGCCAGCCAGTGGAGCCTTGTGCAGGTGTTGAAGGAGAGATCTGTGGTCACAGGTTTTGGGTTTCTAAAGGGTTCTCTGTTCCCACCTCAAAGGGTCAAAAAAACATGTCTGGAAAGCCTCAGCCTGCAGAACTGCAAAGCTCTGCAGATCTGTCCTCACTGAAAACACACCCCTAACATTTTCAAATGGATATTCCAAAGAGATCTGACCTTGCAGGCTGTGGCTGCTACCAGATGGAGCTGTCCTAGAAACAGAACGAGGCAGTTTTCAAAGGGGTGGAGGACACAGTGGAATTTGCTAAAACAATGGGACTTTGGTGAAGGAACTGATGTGGTGTAATCCAGTGAACTAGACAGTGAACATTCCCCCTTAGCAGATAGAACACTTGGCAATGCTTAAGAAGAACATCACTGAATGAGGACATTATTTTAAGTTTCTGAGTTGCTATGCTTGAGACTGAAATTCAGTCTTGGCAGAGAAGTAAACGGAAGCGCAGTCACTTACAAGAGATGAACATAGTCCTTTACTAGAGCTAAATAATCCCTGCAATGAACATGCCTGTAATGGAGATCATCACACGTAACAGATCTGCCTTTTCTCAACTGGTGAGACAAAAACAAATGCTACAGGGCTTGGAAGGAGAGAGAAGAGATGTAGAAGATCCAGAGGTGAAGAGTAGCATGAAGGTCTGAGGAGAAGTACCTAGCAGTGAGAGTGAGACCACAGGGCTTTTTTAGAAAGAAAACAAATTGGGGTGACCATTCCTACAGATCACATGTGAGGGACCTGCTGCACCTGTTTTGGTGGGTCCTACTGGGTACAGAAAGCAACATAGCATTCCTGTAAGGTAGGGAAATGTTCTGAATGAGGTTTGTTCAAAGTAATCATCATATGCAGTACATTTCTCAAAGAGGTTATAAATAAACCCTTCACTGGAGGTAAGGAGCTTTAGGCACTGAGAACGAAACCTATTAAAAGAGATTGAAGTAGCACCGTTCTCTCTCCCTTCTCATGGCAGAACTGCTGCAGTTAAAAGCTTCCTAGTTAAGACTTACTTAATCACATTAAAGATGCACAGGCAGCCAGGTAGGGGGTTATAAAAAGAGCAATCCCTAACATGTCTAATTCGCTCTGATGTCAAAATGCACCCTATCTGCAAGGTGAGCAAACAGGTCTCCCTAAACAAATTGCCAAAGAAGGGGGCAGCTTCCACAGTCACAGGGCACGACTTGTAAGAATGTCTGGATGGAGTCAGAGGCCAATATGGTCTCAAAAGGGAAGGACAAGTGCAAGGCAGGACTGCCACCCTGCCTGGGGCTAAGCAAGAGCTTGGTTCAAGAATTGGTGTTACACAGCAGTTAGGAAAATGCAATAGTCAGGTGTGATAGGAATAGCAAAGGCTCTGCATTAAGGTTTGAGAATCTCTGGGTTGATGGCTGTGTTGCCCACTGATGATCACCAACTTCCCCATGGCAACCGCAGCAACTTGTTCTGCAGAGAAACATCAGTATAAAATAACTATGCAGCCTCTAACAGCCAGTGCTTTTGTCCCACGTGAAAAATACCACTGTGTGCTTTGCCTGTGCCATGGCTCCCCTGGACCTGCTGTGGTCAGCCTTCACTCACACACTGCTCTCTGCTTCGTTTTCCACTTTCCACAGCACCTCTCTCATGGGTGATACTGGTCCACAAGGAAAGTTACCAGTTTGCCTTCTTTGCGTTAAGAACTTTGCCAAGAAAACACCAAAACTGAACTTCAGCCTTCCACCCTGGACAACAGCCATGAAGAAGAGCAATCAAAGTACAGAGAGAAGGACCAGCTCCACTTTCAATTGCCACATGGAGGCCCACAGGTGAGCATGCTGACATTGCTTGTCCCCATTCTGCTAAGCATTTTGTCACCAGAGGGAATAATCAAAACCAGGGCTGCAGAAAGGAGGACAGATAAGTGCCATGGTACTGCCACAATGTATATAGCCCCACCTGTACATTAGAGCAGAACCTTAGCATCTGCTGGGCTTGACCTGTTCTGGAGCAGGAGATAAAACATCAGCAATGGGAGGTTAACACCTCAGACTTAAGGAGGCGAAGGAAATCCTCCCCAAAGGTCAGGATGAAACCAGACTCCCAACTTTTCCACCACTGAGAAATGCACACACAACTTGGGAAGTACACAGGTAAGGTAGTGGGAAAAAAGGGACTGGTAGTTCCTCATAGGGAAGGAAGGAGCGGCAAATTTTCCTATGGGGACAAATGCGGAGCAGATACATCAGTGGTTTCTCATCAGATTCTGAGGTTACAGCCTCATGAACCAGGGTCCAGCTGAGGACAGAACACTTCTGTCAGACAACACTTCAGGCAGGCTTGGGAACCCACAGGACTGTGCTGCCAGTCAGCTTCCACTGATCTGTCACAGGACAGAGGCTAGCGATGAGAGCCCCAGAGAGTAACACTCTCCCGCTACCAAAGGGAGGTACCTGGATAGTGATGGTTCCTTTTCCATTGTCTGTCTGCAGATGGATCTCCATCTCTGGCAAGGCCTTCCCTTCTGCCATCAGCCGATGACGCAGTTTCTCCAGTGCATCGCTGCCATTGGAAATTAGCTCCCGGATAAATACCTGGGGATGAGACACATCCTGACCCTGCAGCCTGGCCTTGTCCACTGCATGGGACTCCAGAGACCTGGGAAATCATTGTCTACTCACAAACTAATTCCCAGCTCGCTAGCAAAAGAACTGCATTTCCCATTATCTGCCAGGAGAACAGTTTGTCTGAACTCAATATCAAAGTGCAGAGGCTCTGAGGCTCACCAGCCACACCTACAAATTGCTTTGAAAATACATTTTCAAGGTGTCTTAAGAAAATGTCATTCAACAGCCAGGACTCGCTGGGAAACTGAACAGGTATTGTCCCAGCTCCACTGTTTTGGAGGTACCCCTTGACAGAGATAGGGCTTTCCCAACAGAAAATCTACCAGCAATTAGCGGGTGCCTCACCTCCTTTTCTGAGTACAAGGAACGGGCAACAATGTCCAGCAGTTTCTTCGTTTCAGCCTGAAATTCATGTTTAGAGGCTGCACCTAGAAAAAAATCACAAAGAGACCTTCAAGGCATTTTGCCAGGGTCCTCTTGGGCAGGAAGGCAAAACTGCAGTTTTACCACTTACTTCAGCTTCCCAGGAATGAAAGCCTGAAGCAGGATGGGACATAGGTAGCTGCAGCCTCCAAGAAGATGACAACAAAGATGATAACATGCTGCCTATGAGGCAGCATGCTTTACCAAGCTGACAATTTGCCTCTGAACCTCAGCTCCTGGCACACAAACCTCAAGACAGCCAAAGCCTGTGGTACTGGCGCATTGGTCACCCTATCTGGGCTGCAGAGCGATCAGTGAATGAGAAGTGAAAGCTGATTCCACTTATTCCTAATGTGTGGCTCTTCCAGTCACCCTTTCAAATGCCTCCCATGGTTTTTAGCCTGCCTTCCATACTCTTCCTTGACTCAGTTTTCAATGGAACCATCTGTACGTGCTCTGCTCCAAGAGCTTCTACACCCAGGCGGCATTTCTCATGCCCAAACAATACTCAGAGCCTTAAGCAGAAAAAGGCAGATTCTCAAATATCTCTCTGGATCAGACAAGGGCGCGCATATGTACAGTCATGTCTGCAGGTGGGTAGCTGTGCCCAGAAAGAGAATTTTCTTTGGGAAGAAGAACACTACAAAACATCTCAGCTGAAAGACCACCTCTGGTCTTTTAAAAATGGCATTTTCTCCTGCCAGAGGCATTAGAGAACCCTGAAGCAACACGGGGAAAGCCATGAGTCCCACATCACCACTGCCATGCCTTGCTGGCAAGAATCTATATTCCCAAGTGACAGGGGCGAAGCTGGGGTGTGAACAGCAGCAGGAGCAGTGCATCAACCCCACTGTGTTCCACCCAGCCTGGCAGTCTCAAAAGTACCTGTCAGAAAAAACACAGGAGCACAGAGTTAAGATGCTATTTCTGTGCTTGAGTAACTCAAATGGCTTCGCTTTAATGCACCTCTCCCTGGAGGTGCAAAGCAATTAATTCTAACTAAAAGGTTGACACTAAGATTCTCATTAGACCTCTATGATCTACAGCAATGACTTGGGCAAGCACAGCCTGCTTCTGGGACAAAAAGTCTCTTTTTAGGCAAATTCTAGTGCCTGTGGAGCCTCTATGCATATGTGTGGCCATCAATTGCATGGCTAAGCCCAGAGATGCAACTTCTTCCAGCAGTCTTGATGGCCTCAATTCTCAGTGAAGGCCGTTCCGATTCACATTCCAGTTTTGGGGAGATGATGGTGCAATACAGATTCAGACTGCAGCCAGGATGCAGTGATCAATACCTGCACCTCCTCCTGAGGCAGAAACACTACTGCAGAGAGCTAACCCTCACAGTCAGGACACAGAGGCACCAAGACCTTGTCCCTGGTCTGCCTGCACCCCAGGAGTGTTCCCACAAGACAGCTATGTTTCTGCCCACCTTTCACGTTCTCTGTGTTGTTTATGATGTTGTGCAGGGGCTCTTCTTCCTTCTCCTCTGCTGTCTGCGTGCTGTACGTCCGGACAGCAGAAATGCTGGCGGCAGGAATGTTGTACCAGAGGCTCCCATGATGGATTATTTGTTTTTGGAGACCTGCTGCTCCCTTTGCTAGAAGACACAATTGAAGATGTGTCAGTACACACCACAAGTACCAGCAGCAAACAGGAACACTCTTAAAAGGTCCCACTTAAGCAATCCCATGGGGAGTTGCAGTGCCTGATCAAGACTGAAGCTCCCTCCCAGTGGAACAGGCACCATTTCCCTCTGGCATTGCACTTGCTGCGTAAGAAGGGCAAAGTGCTGCTTTAGATTGTCTCTTCTGAATTAAAATTCTAGCCAGAAGATGACCATTAGCAGCTCTCACAACAAATTAACCAGTGAGGAAGAGGCAGTCTGCAGCTTTTATTGCTGTTACCTGGCCAAGCTGAAGACAACAGGGAACACTTCAACTCTCACATTACTGCCAGTGGAAACATAAAACCTCAGTGCAAGGCAGCCTGCACCTCCAGGAGATGCCTCCTCTGTTGGGAGATTAAACAAAGCCAAACCTATCCACCGGAAGACTGTTTGCAGCACTACAGAGCTCTGTCCAAAGCCAGGTTCTTGGTGTGATTTCTGCATTGTAGTGAGAATGGCCTGTGCCAGAGAAAGAGCTTGGAGGATCTAAATATGCAGCTGTACTGAGGTGGGAAGCGATTTGCCTTCCCCAGCCCTACGATGAACATAAAGCAACCAGGATGGTCTTGTCCGAGCAGGGAGAACCTGGATAAGCAGCAACTGTCTGGAAGGAGTGAGAAGTCCACGCTTTTCTTACACCTCACTCTGTGCTTACATGCTGTTCCATAAAGCAAGGAAAGGAGGCAAACCCTACACAGCAGGCCTGCAAGAGGTGCGTTTCCAAGATGTCCTTCCTTTAGATGAATGGGTACAAACTCACTCAAAGACTGAACTGAGAACCATTAGTATGGCCACAGTCCCCCCATGCACTGTGACCTCCCTGGAAACAGCTTCTGTGTCTGTCCCCAGCCCTCCAGTCCAGCTGACATACCAGGAGAGCTCAGTGCCCTTCTGAGCCTTCCTCCACCTTGTCGCAGCCCTGCAGTCAACTCTGCATCCCAGCCCTTTCACCAACACCACTCTTCATCCTCTGGCTCATCCTGGGAGGTCTCAGGCTCCCTTCACAAGTGCTATGCAAACCTCCTGCCCACCTCAGCAGGTTCTACAGCCAATACAGTCATCGAGAACAGGTCTTGCTGCTCCAGATCATCAGTCTGGGCTCTTCCTCCAGCTCAGATGAACACAAACCCCTGAGCTTTAGCAGTACTTTTGGCTCCTACACCTCATCCTGAAGAGCTGATCGAGGAGGTTGTCAGTCCTCATTCTTCCTCCTCCTCACAGAAAGCTTTGATTCAAGATCCACTTTTCCAGCCAGAAGCTTGAATTACACCCCAGTCATTCTGCCCTTAAAGAAAAGAGCCCACAAATAGTTCCTAATGCATCTGAACACCTCCTACACACATAACTGCTCGCTCCCTGCGTCACAAACAGTTCTGCCGCATTATCACAGGACAAGTTTTTTATCTTTCATTCGACTGCCTTTGTTGGGCTCATCTGAGAAAGCAACAAGGAAAACAGCCTGGTAGACTGGAATGGAGAGCAGCAGAGAGCTCACCGTGTGGCCATCCAGCCCATCCAGCACCGGAGAGGGCTGAGTCAGCCTGAGTCAGCCCAGGGATCACACATTTATTTACGTATTTACACAGGGTTTACATATTTATGCTCATTTTATGCTCAGTGTAGGTTACTCTGAAAAATCTGCACATGTATGTACGCACATACACATTTTCCATCCAGCAGAAACAGAAGAGGGAATTTTGCTCCCTCCCTGACTCCAAGATCCAAGAGAAACAGGCCAGGAGCAGCTCCGTGCTAACCTTAACTACCATCAGATCTCCAGGCAGAGAAGATCTGGAGCCAACACACAGGTCACCCCTGTAGCCCATAACCACTGCCTAACTCTAGAAACCACAGCTATTTATAATTTTTGATATATTCATGTTTTTTTTTTGTCCCCCGACCTCTAAAGCACAGTAATAAAGCACCACCCATCAGTTCAGAAGTTACTTGTGGATTTGTGTGATGTTTGGTCTTGTCATCCTTAACTAACAGCCCATCCTGTGCCAGGTAGAGACAAGGCTCATTAAACGCAAGCTGCAGCGTCTTCAGACTGTTTGACTCCTCCAGAGCCCTTGCCTGGCCAGCAGGGAAAGGCTCCAGGCAGTTTTGGATATAAACCCACAATTATCAGCACACAGAAGTTGCATCTGCTGAGTTAACAGGAAAAGTGACACCCAGAACAAGAAACAAATGCCTAAAACCAAGAGACAAAGAAGGAATGGCTCTGGATGAGTGCTGTGATGTGCTGGGGCAAATCGGGTCTTTTTGTATCGAGTTAATCAACTGCTAAGCTTTACCACATACCTTCCTGTTTGCATCACTGCCCCACCTGCACCATAGAAGATGGCAGATACCCACATTACTCTCCAACTTCCAGTTCTCGGTGGCTCCCAAGTGATCCTGTGTGTATGACCACAGGGCAGTTCCCCTTTGCATGTAGGGACCACACCATAGAAAAGTGAAGGACCCTCGGGCTCGGGGGCTCCTTTCAGTGCCAGATGCCTCAGTGATTCCCGATCCCCTCAGGAAACACAGCGCTTCTGGGAAAAGGACTGCTGTGAGCCAAGTCCAATGCCAGTTAGAAATTTAGGGTGGGGAATTGAGCACAAAGAATAACCAGCTCAAGACAAAGAGGAGAATTTTGGTCAGCAGAAATTACCATAACATGGTTGCTGTGCATTTGCAAGCCTGAGGATGCTCTTGCAAAGAAGAGCACGAGGTATAAGATGCTTCCAGGCCAGATCTCATCAGAAGAAGAGGCTTCTGAGCTGGGCATCAGATTCTTCGTGAAGCTGGGGAGAAGAGAGCTCCTGCCTGATGCACTCAACCCAAAACACCTCTCAAAAACTACACCAGTTTCAGCCTTCAGCAAGTGAGAGGCAAGAGAAAATTATGCCAACTTTGTGTGGCTGGAGGGAAGGACCAGCTGCCCCTGAAGCCAGGGATCTCTGCCTGCAACCAGGTGGAAGGACACCACCTCCTGTGCCTCCCTCTTTATTTTCACCCCACACAGCTTCTGCTGACTATTTTTTCTGTGAAGGATCTGAATGGCAGGTTAAGGAATAAACCTCTGGCTGTGCTGGAGTCTCTCTGACCCAACAGAGAAATGTGGCTTCCCTCTCAGACACAGGCACTAACAAACCACCGGGGATTTCTGTGGTGGAAGAACTGAATTGTGAAAACACTGAAGCAGCACTCAGTGGCACAATAAATCTAACAGTCTGACCCTGATATCGACCATCTTTGTCACACAGTTTCCTCTGTCACATTTTTCTCTTCATAACCCACAGGGAAACCACAGGCCACACTGACAACTTACAGACCCATCCATCAGGAGCCAGGCGACAGATAAGCCTGGCAGATACTGAGCAGAAGACACGCAGGAACTGTCAGCACACCCCTGATGATAGCTCACAAGTGCACTTCCAGACCGGCACACTGTAACGTAGATGGGACAGGGCACCCCATCATCAGGACCTCAGAGTTCCCACCGTCTCAGCCCTCAATCCTGCCAGCCGCCTTGGGTGGAATCCTGAGCACACCTCTGGGGAAAACAAACCCTCAGGCTCATGTGTATGGTTCCCTGGAACTGGAACAGTCAAAGAACAGCAACCCTGCTGCCTTCTCTGCTGCCTTCCGTGCTGCACACGCTATACACCCTACATTAGCCATGACATGAACCTGGACACACTATACATGCTGTATGAGCCAAGAGATGAAGCATGTCCATGAAGCATGTCCAACGCTACATGACCTGGATGCTACACGACCTGGATGCTACACAGCCTATAAAGGCCAGGATATGAACCCACATATGAGCCAACAGATGAATCTGGTCATGTTGTATTACCTGAACACACTATATGCCCCATAGGCCAGCAATTGTACATAGCATATCATGTATCTAGGAGATGAACTCGGACACACTGTACACCGTGTATGAGCCAGGACATGAACCTGGATGTGCCATACGGCCTGGACATGTTTCACACACTGTATGAAGCAACATGGGAACACGGACACGTTCTTCATCCTACATGAACCTGGACAGGCTGCACATCCTATGGGAGCCAGCAGGTGACCCCAAGCACGCCGTGTGCCCTACGCGAGCCCGCGCGAAGCCTCTCCCCCCCCCCCCCCCCCCCCCCGTGAGGGCTGGGCCTTCACGGTTGCCGGTGGTGGAGAGCACGGGAGGCCTGTGGAGCCGCTGGCCCGTGGTTCGCCCGGCCGGAGGCAGCGCTGCTTGTGCACACGCGGGCCTGGGTCCGCCCCCGAAAGACGCGACCGGCGCATACGGCAGCGAGGGCAGCCCCGGGGAGGCGAAGGGTCTCTCACGCCGCCCGCCCCCACCGCACACCCCCTGCCAGCCCGCCGGGACTCGGTGGCGGCGGGTGACGCGCGGCGGGGCGGACCCTGCTCACCTACGGCCGCCCGCGGCCCGGCCCCGGCCCTCAGCAGCGCCGCCAGGCACCGCCCCCGCCGCGCCACCGCCGCCGCCGCCGCCGCCGCCATGCCGCGCGCTCCCGCCTCACGCCGCTCTGCTGCCGGCGCCCGTCGATGGCGTCACGCGGGCCTCCCTGACGTCATGCTCACGCACGCGCGCCACCCGGCGCTGCGCAGCGCGGCTCAAGCTGGGTCGTGTCCGCGCGCTCGCTCCTCCGCTCGGTGCCCGCTCACCAGCTGCGGGGTGAGGAGCTCCCTCGGGAAAGCCGCTTCCCGCCGCGCTCCCTGCCCGGCTCTGCCCCGCTCTGCTGCACCTTGTGACAGAGGTGTCAGGCCCAGGACGCCACTTACGAACCTGCCCGGTTAAAACCCTTTCTGTGTCTCCGCCTCCGCGGGAGCCCGGCACAGTTACTACAAACCCGTCCGCGTGGCCTCAATGAACACACAGCTAAAAATAAGCAGCCTGAGCAGGTCTCATTTTAGTGAGCGCTAACCACTTCCAGGCAGAGATGAGGGCCTTCAGGTGAGAACTGTGACCACCTAACAGAGGCAGCTTTGTAAGCCCGACTTGAGGGAGCTGGCTGGAAAAGCTACACGCGCACGGCACTTGTGCTCGCAGCTTATCTTTGGGACTGGACCAATGCATGTGCTGGTTTGGAGGTTTGTGTGTAGGAAACACTTGCACGCAGTGGGGTTCCTCAGTGCTGGATGTTACAGATCAGGCACAACTAACCCAGCGTGAGCCCTTTCATCACTCTGGCACTCTCCTGCTGGGCTGTGTTTCCACCTGGAACCAACCCCAGCTCCTCCTCGAGATTCCCTGTGTTGCCGCCAAAACCAAAATAACTTCCAAGCCCATTTCAAACACTTCCCTCCTACCACTGCTTTAATTGCTACCTCCAGCTGACCCCCCAGCACTCCTGAGCATTGGTCTGCCACACCACAGAGCTCTGGTACCTGCTGTGAAACACCAGAACCCTCCTCCTCCCTTGCCATGCGTCTGACCGTTAAGCCATGAAGTATGGTGCTGGAGGGAAGGCTTGGGGATTGCCTGGCGTCTAGTACAAGTCCTCCTCTCTGCCCAGGCTCGCTTCAGTCATCTGGTGGTTGGCACTGACTGGCACCAGTTGCTGCCCTGGCAGGTCACTGAATAGATCACCCTGCTCCCCATTTTAACGGTGATGCAGGAAGGACACACTGCTCCCACACAGCAGCTTATCTGCTCTGCAGTGCTCCCCCAGCTCCCAACTCCATGGTGGCTGCCTGATCTTCACTGCCCTGAGTAAACCATGGGCTGTTATTTGCTGTGGAAGAAGCACCTGCTGCACAGCAGGGTCACCTTGTAGGCCATTAACTTCACTTACTGCCCTATGCTGGCACAGACTTAAAGGAATATTATGTGCTAAGGCTGTAGAGAGACTGCTTCTGGCTCCCGAGACAGTGACTGATGGGGAGTTTGGCACTGGCTGCACCCCAGCAGAAGGGCTCCTCTTCCTCAGCCTACCACTGCAGCCAGGGCTCACCCCTTCACTCTAACACATCCAGGTGGAAGTCCAGAGCAGGGAGCACTTACACCAGTGCAGCAGGCAGATCTCTGGCTTGATGGACAGCAACACGCAACCAAGGTGGTGAGCCTTAGTGGTGTATCTACGGTGAGAAGAAACATGCTCGCAGCCTGATGTGGTGGCAGTGCTGGTGGACATCTGACTAGGAGCAGAGAACCACATTGTTGCAGCTCACCATTCAGAACTCACCATCCCCTGCAGAATTCAGTAAGGTCTTGGTCATCCCCTTCAATGACCAAGATCCTGCACCACTCTCCACTGTGGTGGTGTGATTTTAGGATTCTGCTCCTTTATCACCAGTACCTCCCCGATCAAAACACAGATCAGATGTCCATCCAGTCTTCAGATATGCTGCATTTACCAATGCCCAAAGGAGACCGTAGTGAAGCCTCCAGTTCTGTTGTGGTTGCACACCAAGCCTAGCCCCTCCTCCTGTTTGACTTTGCATTTCCCTTTGCTCCCTGGTAAAATACCTGCTCTTACCCGAAACAACTGCTCCAGGAAGCTGGGATTGTCAGATCTAAACCCATCCCTTGCTCTGTGCTCTCAACTTACTTCAGGTGGTACTTAAAAGTATCCTGGCATTTGCTTTCCAACAGGAACAGGAATGCATGAGAGCCACACCTCCTCTTTGTGCCCCAGCCAGGGCTGGGTTTATCCAAATCCAGACACAGTGCCGATGCTTTTAGAATGGATACTACATAAAGGTATTAGTGAGATTGAGTGCTGTTACCTTAACCTTGGCTGTCAGGCATAACTGATCTGAGTGGGCACCAGCCAAGTGGAACCATCCTCCAATCCAAGCAGTTTTACCAGCTTTTATTAGAAACACCAGCACATTTCAAGTTTCCTCTTTTTGATCACAAATATAGTATTCTTCCTCTTTTTTAAGTACACAGCATGAGACACAGCATTAGGGCTTTCCATCCTTTTTTGTTCTTTTTACAGCACTTTCTTTAGGTTAGTGTTCACTGACCTCACCCCAGCCCCAGATTTTGACATCTTGAATTGCTGAAGACAATGGTATGGGCAGATGAATCCAATGGTGGTGAAAAAGATGCAACAGTGAAGAGTTTGCCAGTAAAGTTTAAGCGGAGACCCTCTACAGTTAAAAAGAACGAAGCAGCGCCACAGCACACTGCTCTTTGCACAGGATGGGGATACGAGTTGAGAGAAATCCTTTTGCTGTTGTCCCCCAATCCTGCCCCAACATTGTGCCAATAAAACCAGTAAGGCTGGAGGAAGCCAGGAGTGCCCGGTGCTCCTGCTGGGGCGGGATACCTTCCCAGGTCTGCTGCAGATCCTGTGCCAGGCGTGTATAACCTTACGGGCTGAGGGGTGGTGGTTACGACCAGCCATGGTTTTAGGTCACACCTACAAGGGGGAAAGTTTCCCAGGAGCTTTTAGCTCTGAGAAAGCAATTCACTGAGGGGGAGAAGGAACAAGTAGCCCAGGGACATGAGGGCATGGTGACAGGATATTAAAGGGAACATGTACATGATTTGTTATTTTTTATTCCACAGAAAACCCTCAAATCTAGACTCAGAGTTAACAGCAGAAAAATAGTGTTAAAGTCAATAGGTTCATATTTTACTGTAGACTAAATAAATTAGCCTAGAATTAACTCAGTACTCTCTATTTTCCTTTCATTGGTGATCCTTCTCTAAATTAATGCAGTTTTTAAAAAGCAACGGCTATTAATAATTTATTCCAGTTAACCCTTATGGATGAACACCTGCAAATAGTCAATGGATGGGAACCACTGCCCTCTCCTCTCCCTCCCCGAAAAGGAAACAATCACTAAAGGGTGTTGTAAAACAGACATGCTACCTACAATACGCCATGGATTGTGCCACTCCTACCGCTGCCTCTGGCTGCTCTGTGTAATGAGTGAATATTCATAGCTATGTCTTACAAAGAACATGATCCAAAAAATATATAAATAAATAAAAACCTTAAACATTCTTACATGGATTTTAAAGAACAGAATACATGTTAAAAACTTCAGTAATTTATATCAATTTTAAGCAATACTTTATATACAATGGAAAAAAGACATGCATAGTCCAAATACAATGTTGAAAACAGCATTTTCATAACAAAAAATCCAAACACTAAGTGTTAATACCATGTACATGAACTCAAGAAGGACCACCCTTTTTGTCTGTTGCACACAGTTTATTTAACAATATGATATTATAAGTAAGAAATGAGTTTTTTGTTGTTTTTTTTTTTTTTTTTACCATTCTATACAGTGATTGAATCTTCTTGGATTTTCTTGTTTATAGTAATTATAGCGCTTGCATGATTTACACTAGAATTGCTTTTCCTCATTTCAAGTTTCACACAGAAGAAAGAAAGAAAAGAATGCTTCTTCTCTATTCAAATCAGCACGGTCTAAGAGTGATCATCCCTATTTTCATCTAAAACCAGTTTTATCAGAGAAACAAAGCAACAATTTCTACATCTGCAAGACAAGGATTTTGGCATTGGCCAATGTGTGTTTTTGTGTGCAAGAGTCCATTCCTATCTTCCCAGGGGTAATACTTCAAATGCCTGCAGAGTTCACTATAGAAAAACAAAAATCTTCCCACAACGTGTCAAAGTTACTGGGATACATTATAATGTTGCATTATTTCAGGAAACAGTTTCTGAATATTATTTTTTTCTTCTTTTAAACGCAAATGTTTAAAGTCTTGAAAATACAAATAAAAAATATGACTATAATGAACTTGTTTTCCCCATTAAAAAAAAGGTATGAGTCAACAGCAACAAAAAAATAAAAACCAAAAAAACCCACAAAAGAGACCAGATATTTTAACCGCCTGGCTTTAACAAAAAAATATATTCTTTGTATTGTTTTTTTCTCTTTTTTTTTAAACAGCAATTCATTCTTCCATGTGTAGGAAGCAGCAGTTCCATCCAGGATTCAAAACAACCCAGATGTCTGAATTTTCAGTACAAAACGTCCAAGAACACGAAAGGAAAAACAAAAACTGAAACAAAAAAGTGATGCTCCCATAATGCTACAAACCCTCCACAAATTTTTCTAGTGTGTCCCCGGTGGTGTCACCGACCAGAGACAATTCGTTAGACAACGCACTCCTGTTCGGGGTGTTTAGTTGTGGAAGCATTGCACTCTGTTCTGGGTTGCCCAAGTGTCCCTGATCCATGGAGCTAGCCATAGTAACTGAGAGTCCTGGGTGGGGGGAACCAGTCTGGGGAGAGACGTGGTGAGGTGACGGTTGGGGCTGTATCCTGGGTGACGGGCTGGAATGTGGTGGCTGGGACTGGGGACGGGGAGACTGAACAGGTGCTGGGGACCGCACCTGGTTGCTGAGGGAGGTGGCGATCTGCTGGCCAGGGAGATGAGACGCCTGCGGTTGTCCTGAGAGCATGTGCTGCTGCGGGCTCATGGGGTTAGGCTGCCCGGGGGACCCTATCTGCTGCTTCATCTGCTGCTGTTGCAGGATCCGCTGCTGCAGTGCTTGCTGGATGTTGGGTGTGCCGTCAGCCCCCATGCCGGGCTGGCCC